ACGTTTGATCCCCGGCATCCCATATGGTCCTCTGATCACTACCGGGAATAATTCCTGAGTGCAGAACTCAGAGTAAGCCCTAACTGCCCAGTGAGCCCCCAAAACAAACTCATTCAGATGAACTCATTTTAGTCGCACATACTCCTTTGCTTCTTCAGTATGCAGCATACAGTGAGTGAAAAAAATACACATTTTTCTCAGCTAAGCCCTTTTCTGATCCAACGACAGCAGTAGATAGCATGAGATGTGATGGCACAGAGGCTGGTATTTTCATGTCCAGGATTCCCACCTCCATTCTGCCACAGTAAAACTCACTTTATGGGGGCTGGAGCCATAGTACAGCATGTAGGGCATTTGCCTTGCAGGCGGTCGACCCAAGTTCCATTCCCAGCATCCCATACGGTCCCCTGAGCACTGCCAGGAGTAATTCCTGAGTGCAGAGTCGGGAGTGACCCCTGTGCATCACCGGGTGTGACCCAAAAAGCAAAACAAACAAAAAAACTCACTTTATGCCCCCATCTCGTGGGTCCAGGGCCTCCCAGCCCTCCTCTGATGAGAGTCACACGACTCCCCACTTACTTTCTCTGCCCCTGGGGATGGGGGAGACAGCAACCCCTTAGGGGATGGGGGGGTGGAAATGGAGTGGGTGCAGAGTCAGAGGAATGACTGGACCCTCGGGGGCCTTGGGTTCGAGAAGGTGCCCAGGAAGCACCAGCCAAGGAAACCCACCTGAGGCGTCTGCAGAGGTGGCACCTGTGCGCGCCCTGGGGCCGGGGCGGGGCCATCTGCGGTCCACGTACATGGACCAGAAATGAACGTGAGTTCATTTCTGAAGATCCACCCACTAATTCTCACATTTCAAAAAAAATGTGTATTCTTTTTTTTTGGCGAAGGACAGGCGGGCGTAACGAATACTTTTCCCGGCTTCTGCCGCATCTACCAGTACTTCTGCTCTTCTCTCTTTGAGGTCTTCCTTGATCGCATCTCTGCACTGCTTTGCGAGCTCGGATGTTAGCTTGCGGTTGCCTGAGGCATGCGCCAAACCACGCTGGCGAATTAGCTCAAGAGTTTTCGAAGATAGGCGATTTTTTGTGGCTATCTCTCCCTTGGCGTTCCTCGCACATTCATGGAGGTGCTGAACCAGTCGATCATATTCCTCGTCAATGTTGTCAACAATGGCATCTTCCCATGTTGCCGCAAGAGTGCCAAAGAGTTCCCAGTTGGTGGTCATTCTGGGAGTTCTCTTTTTGAACTTTGCAGCCCTTTCTCCCCGCTCTGTGAAGTAGAATTTTGCACAAAGGAGACGGTGGTCCGATCCCGTTCGAAATTTTGGGACAACAACGACATCAGTCAGGCAAAACCGTCGATTGAATATGATGTGGTCTATTTCATTGTGGAATCGTCCACCGGGAGACTCCCATGTCCAACGTTTAGATTCTGCCTTCTGGAACTGTGAGTTACCATGGATGGTCTTGGTCGACATGATGAACTCAGAAAGTCTCTCACCCTGTTCATTCCATTCTAGGCCATGGGTCCCGATGTGAAGTTCTTCAGCTGATCTTCTTGGTCCTATCTTGGCATTAAAATCACCCACGATGATCTTGTAGAAGGTGTGGTCTTCTTTATAGAACTTCTCCAGCTCCATGTAGAACTTCTCGATTTCTCTTTCATCATAATGAGATGTTGGTGCGTAGACAAAGAAGATAGAAACTGCAGGCAGTGAGTCACATCTATTCAAATGTAAACGCCCGATTTGGGTTGTTAGGCATTCAAATGAATCAATGCTCTTGGCCAAGTTTGTGTTGACAAGGACACCGACGCCTCCAACACCTCTTTTATCGCATGTTCCGAGGAACAATTCTTCTCCAGTGTCGAAAACGGCATGGTGAGATTCGTGCCTTCTTGTCTCGGTCAGACCAATGATGTCGTACTTGATCATTCGCGCTTGTACCATCAGGTCCTCGATGGATGTATCTGATGCTAGCGTACGTGCATTGAAAGTACAGACGATCATTTTTGTCAAGACCAAGATGACTGCCCTCCGACGTCCTGATGGATCCATCACATCTTCCAGAACGGCAATGGAGAAGATTATCCATGACTTCTACTCAAATCTCTTCGATAGCCATGTCCACTTGCCGACATACCAAATTCCACAGGATGGATATGTCGTTCCCAACATTCTCCCTTCCGAAATCTGACACGCCATTTCGTCGGTAAAGAAACAAACAGCACCCGGCCCAGACAAGGTCAGACCTGAACACCTGAAGAACCTGCCGTCAGTACTCATCAATACACTGGCTCGGCTCTTCACTCGCTACCTGTCTGAATGCAAGGTTCCGTCCCAATGGAAAACCAGCAGGACCGTACTACTGTTCAAGAAGGGAGACATCCATGACATTGGCAACTATCGCCCGATCTGCCTATTGTCTGTCATCTACAAGTTGTTCACTCGAGTCATCCTAAATAGGATTGGCAGGACACTAGATGAAGGACAACCATGCGAGCAAGCCGGGTTCCGCAAAAGATTCAGCACCATAGACCATATCCACACAATAACCAAACTCAATAACCAGGCCTTTGAGATTTCTCGGGAGTTCAAGATGCCGCTCTGCTTAACGTTCATTGATTTAAAGAAGGCCTTTGATTCTGTTGAGACGGAAGTGGTCATTGAAGCCCTAGCCAATCAGGGCATTCAAGCCCAATACATCAGGATCCTCCGTGAGTTGTATTGCGGATTCACTACCAGGATCTCACCATTCTACAAAGAAGTGATCGTTGATGTCAAGAGAGGGGTTCGGCAGTGATACCATTTCACCGAAACTCTTCAGTGCCACCCTCGAGAACATCATGCGAGGACTGGAATGGGAAGGAATGGGAGAGAAGATAGATGGTCAGCAACTACACCACCTCTGCTTTGCTGATGACATTGTTTTAATAACACCAAACATCAGCTAAGTGGTACAAATGCTGGCCGACTTTGACCTTGAGTGTGGAAAGGTAGGACTACAGCTGAATCTTACGAAGACAATGTTTACGAGAAACAGCCTCGTTCCTGATGCTCCATTCGCTCTCAACGGAACGACCATCTCCGAATGCAACAGCTATGTGTACCTAGGTCGAGAAGTCAACATGACAAATGATCTGGCACCCGAGCTGCGCAGGAGGAAGAGAGCGGCTTGGAACGCCTTCAAGAGTGTCGAAGAAATAGCTAAGAGGACGAAGAACCTCCAGCTCTGGGCTCATCTCTTTGATTCCACTGTTCTTCCTGCATTAACATATGCCTCAGAGACCTGGGCCCTACACAAACAGGATGAGAATGCTATTCAGGTCTCCCAAAGAAGAATAGAAAGAGCTATGCTTGGAATATCACGTTTCACTCAAATGAGAGAAAAAATCCGAAGTTCCGACATCCGTTGACGATCAAGAATCAGGGACGCTGTCTCATTTGCCAAGGTGTCAAAAATCAGATGGGCTGGTCACGTAATGAGATTTAAAGACGACCGCTGGACTAGAGCTGTTACTGACTGGATTCCACGGGATGTCAAAAGACCACGTGGCCGCCCACCTACCAGATGGTCAGACTTCTTCGTGAAGATCATGAATGATCGGTTTGAGGCTCTTCATGTTCCCAGAGCGAACAGACGCCATTGGGCTACACTAGCACGCGACAGGGACAAATGGAGACGTTACTGGCGCCCGCTCGAGCAAATTGACGACTAACGGGAAGTTAAGTGATTAAGTGATTCTTTTTTTTTTTTAACCCACTGTATTCTGCACTCTTCCGGGCAGTAGTTAGGGCTTACTCTTAGTTCTGCACTCAGGAGAACTAAGTATTTATTTACAGTTTGCAGCCTGAAGCCTGGCCTCTGGGTTTCCCCTGCCTTTACTAGGGTGTTGCAACCAGTAGGTGAACTGTTCCCCTGACACAGCGAGCCCCGAATGACCCCCAGAGCACCACACACACACACAACTCGCCCACAGGAGCCTGAGCAAAGGAAGTGGGAGCAGGCTGGGGTTCCCCTGGGTGGGGCTCCCCTAGAGAAGAAGAACAAATGCATTTCCGAAAAAATATATATATTTACTCCCCCGTCCCCTCTAAAAGTGCCTTCTGTTATGAGGATAGCCTGATTCAGCGAGCAGCAATTTTGGTAACTATAAAACATTCATCATTTGACCAAAAGATCTATTTAGATAGACCTCAAATTACACCCTAAAGATGCCGCTCGTCTAAAAATAACGTAAAAATAACGTAGTGGGGCCCGTTGCAGGTGCCCCAACGGGACGGTTTTCTACTTCCGTGATTTTGAGGCACTTCGGGGGCACAGGCTTGACACCTTTGCTGGACGGTGCGTTCAGAAGCCCCCGCCCACCACCCCATTCGCCTTCAGCTTGAGATAACGTAGGAACGGCAGGGGTATGTGGTCCTGGTACCTGGGACCAGGTACCTGCCCAGCTGAACCCCCCCCCCGCCCCGCCCATCCCACCACAGCCCCCTGGACAACACCTGCTGCATCTTCCCTGCGCATCCCCTGGGTACCACAACCAGGCCCCGGGGCGTCTGCGCGTGCGCGTGGACCGCAGGTGGCCCCGCCCCGGCCCCAGGGCGCGCACAGGTGCCGCCTTTGCAGACGCCGCACGTGGGTTTCACCTTGGCGGGTGCTTCCCGGGTACTTACTTCCTCGAACCCAAGGCTCCCGAGGGCCCAGTCGCGCCCCGACTCTGCACCCGCCCCATTCCCATCCCCCCGCAAAGGGGTGGCCGTCTCCCCCATCCCCGAAAGGCGGGGAGGGAAACGCTCGCCCCGAGGGCGCGGCGGCAGTGGGCGCTGGGGCCGCCAGGGGGCGCGCTGGCGCGGCGGGGGGCTCCGCGGAGCCCGGGGCGCGTCTAGGCCGCGGCCGTTCGCAGGTGCCGCTCGGTGCCCACGAAGCGCCAGCTGCGAGGCCGCCGCGGAGCCCCCCGCGCCCCCGCCGCGCCCCCCAGGGCTCCCGACGGCCGCCGAAGAGCCGGGGGCCACCCCGCCGCGCAGCGCCATGGCCGAGGCGGCCCCCGCTCCGGTAAGCGGCGCCGACGGCTGCGGGCCCCCTCGGGAGGGCGAGGGACCCCCGAGCCCCTCCGGCATCCCGAGGGGGCGACCCCATCCCCGGGTGCAGCCCCTCCCCCCGGGCTGTAAGGGGCGCCCCGGGCCGAGGGAGGGAGGTGCAGGCTCGGGCGTTCGGGATGGGGGTGGCTGCACCCAGATCCCTCCTGCACCCAAGCTCCCTCCTGCACCCCAGCCCCCTGCTGCACCCCAGCCCCCTGCTGCACCCCAGACCCCTCCTGCACCGGGGCGCTGGGCTGACCGGGAGCCAAGCCCGGGGGCAGCCTGTTCAGTGGGTCGGGGACCACGGGAGCAGCAAGTGGGGAGAAGGAAAGGGGGCTGCAGGGTGGACCGTTGACCTGCGGGAGACCTGCGCACTGTGCGCGGAGCAACCCCTGGGCACTGCCTGAGTGTGTGGGGGATCCCCAAACAATCCGTTACAGATGGGGGGGGTCGTCTCTGGCGGCCCTGTCCCGTAGAAATAGAATGCAAGCCGCACTTCCCTTCTGTCACTTTTAAGCTTTCGCCTTGTCACTTTAAAAAGTTCAAAAAAAAGAAAAGAAAAGGAGAAAATAACTTTGCTGATCATGTGTTGAATTCCGTGCCTGCAAAAATATTCCCGCGGAGGGAGAGTACGGGGGGTTGGGCACTTAGCTTGCACGCAGCCAACCCGGGTTCAACACCCCCTCCCCATCCCATATGGTCCCCTGAGCACCGCCAGGAGTGGTCCCTGAGTGCAGAGCCAGGAGTCAGCCCTGAGCATCGCCAGCTGTCGCCCCTAAATCACAACAATGAAAAGACCAAAACCAAAACTACTCCCATGGGTAGTTCGTGTCAGTCAGTTGCTCGTGAGTTCCCGGCTTGCCCCAGGCCTTCGGGTGTCGGCCGCACTCGGCTTCTCTCTGGAGCAGTGGCACATCCCAAGTGCGTGTTCCCGGGGCTGGAGCAATAGCACAGTGGGGAGGGTGTTTGCCTTGCATGCGGCCAACCCGGGTTCGATTCCCAGCATCCCATATGGTCCCCGAGCATTGCCGGGGTAATTCCTGAGCGCAGAGCCAGTAGTAACCCCTGTGCATCGCCGGGTGTGACCCAAAAAGCAAAACAAAAAAACAAAACCAAGTGCGTGTTCTTGTTAGTGGTGTCCGGGTTGCACAGTCGAGGCCTGGCATCTGGAGAAACCCCAGGAGAGTGAACAGCTGGCCTGAAGCGGTGGCAGGGCCCAGCGTGCACCGTGGCCGGAGAGAGGGTTCTTTGAAGCCGGGGGTCTCCCAGCGGGGCAGTAAGGAAACAGGGCTGGGCCCCCCGAGGGGAAGGAGGCAGTTGAGATGGAGTCTAACTCACTCCGGGTTTCGCAGACGCACAAACCGAAGTCAGCCTTCCTGGGATCCCTGCATGAGGTGTTTTTGTTTGTTTTTTTTTTCTGCTTTTTGGGTCACACCTGGCAATGCACAGGGGTTACTCCTGGCTTTGTGCTCCAGGAATTACTCCTGGCGGTGCTCAGGGAACCATATGGGATGCTGGGAATCGAACCCAAGTCGGCTGCATGCAAGGCAAACACCCTACCCTTTGTCCTATCTCTCCAGCCCCTGAGGTGTTTTGGTTTTAAAAGAGCTTCTCCCTCAGGAATTGGAGCGTTGTTGGGCTCTATACAGCATCGTTCAGGGACAACTCCTGGCTCTGTGCTCAGGCGTGACCCCTGGTCATGCTGGGGTCAAGTATAGGTCAGCCACCAGAAAGCCGAGTGCCTTAAGTCCTGTACCATCTGGTCCAAGTGGTTCTCTCTTTTTTTTTTTTTTAAATCACCTCCAGTTGCTTGGGGGCCACACCTGGGGGTGCTGGGAGGCCCCTGAGTGCCATAGCTCACGCGTGGCCCCTAATCAGGCAGAGCCAGTGCTGGGGGCCAGAATCTCCACGCCTCCGGGTACTTCTCAACACCCACTCGTTTCAGATCGCCAGCTAGTGGCCGCTCTGTGTGGTGGAAAGGTGCGGTGACCCGTTGACAGTCGTGTGACTCCTGCATGTAGTGCTTATGGGGTGTCCCCGGGTGCTGAGAGCCGCGGGCTGGGAACTGACTCAGCTGGGAGGGAGACTCAAGGGAGGCAGAAAGAGGAGGCGGCGGGCGAGGCTGTCAGTGGGTGCAGTGGGTGACAGGCCGAGCCGTGAGAGCAGGGCCTGGAGGCTCCGTGGCCAACCTCCCGCTGGCTGGGGGACTTGCAGGTGGCCTTTTTGGTTGTGTAGCCCATGAGTGAGGCCAGCCTGCCGAGACCCCCTTTCTCCTGCCTGTACCTCATCTTAGTTCTGGAGGCCAGCAGGGGAATAAGCATTTTGGGTCACACCTGGTGATGCTCAGGGGTCACTCCTGGCTCTCCACTTAGGAATTACTCTTGGCGGTGCTCGGGGGACCATATGGGATGCTGGGAATCGAACCCCGGTCGGCAACATGCAAGGCAAACGCCCTACCCGCGGTGCTATCGCTCTGACCCCCAGCGGGGGAATAAACAAGTCTGCATTGCCTTTGTTGACGTTACAGCCCCCAAGTGTGTGGCAGTCGCTGTCACTTTCACATCCTCCAGATTCCAAGTCCCCAGCTGGCATGGTTGTGCGCGGGAGCGGCATGGCAGGAGCCGAGCCCAGTGGAAAGTGGCCACCAGGAGAGACGGCTGCTTGCTGGCACCTGCCGGGCCAGTTCTGGGTCCAGCTGCCCTTCTGGCCCGACCTGCCCCTGCCCAGAGCCCCCGACACTGTTCCCCACCCAGCCTGCCTCACCCTCCCCCGTGGCGGCACCCGGGCACCTGCCAGCACGCAGTGTCTTCTTTTTTCTTGTCTTGGGGCCCCCCTTGGCAATGCTCGGAGCTTCCTCCGGGGATCTGAGCTCAGAAGTCACTCCCGGTGGGACTCGGGAGACCGGGTGGGGTGCTGGGGTGCCAGGTGGGCACCCTGCCCCCCCGTCCCATCACTGCAGGCCCCACCGCATGGCATGTCTCAGCCCTTGTCTTTCCCGGCAGACCCCCGAGTGGGACTCTGAGTGTCTCTCGTCCCTGCTGCCGCTGCCCACGCCTCCGGCTGCCAGCGACGCCCACCTGCAGACCGCGGCCATCTCCCTGTGGACGGTGGTGGCCGCCGTGCAGGCCATCGAGAGGAAGGTGGAGGTGCACAGCCGGCGGCTCCTGCAGCTGGAGGGCCGCGCGGGCAGCGCCGAGAAGAAGCTGGCCGACTGCGAGAAGACGGCGGCCGAGCTGGGCCAGCAGCTGGAGGGCAAGTGGGCCGTGCTGGGCACGTTGCTGCAGGAGTACGGGCTGCTGCAGCGGCGCCTGGAGAACATGGAGAACCTGCTGCGGAACCGCAACTTCTGGGTCCTGCGGCTGCCGCCCGGCGTGAAAGGCGACACCCCCAAGGTAGGCCCAGGGCCAGGGGATGCTCAAGGCCGAGATGGGTCGGAGGCACCGTCCGGCCGCCTCACTTGGGCCAATGCCCCCCTGGTTTGGGGGCGCTTCTTGGGGTGGGTCACACAATGCCGGGCTGCCCTGTGTCTGCTCTGATGTCACTCCTGGGTCCCTCCTGGTAGGTGTCCAGAGACTGACCCTCTGTGGATGTCCCCTCGCATGCCCGAGGTGGCGCGTTCACTCCTGTTCTCTCTCTGTGGCCTCCCGGCTGGTGGTTCCGTGTTCAGTCGAGCACCCATGGGAAGTGGTTTGTTTCTGTTTGGGGGCCACCCCTGTCAGCGCTCAGGGATCACTCCTGGCACTGCTGTGGGGATCGGAGTCAAACTCAGGTGGGCACTGCTGGGCCCTGCCTGCCATGTGATCTCCCCTTTCCAGTCCCCCGCCGGACAACTTTCTCTCTTGTTCCTTCCTCCCCCCCAATCAGTGTAGTTTCTGAGTATAATAGAACCTCCCCTGCTTGAGGTCACGTTGTTCCTGACCCGAGAACACACAGTGACCCCCCCGGGCACGTGCTCTTGGCCACCTCAGCCGTGACAAGTGTCCTGTCCTGAGCATCTGACTTGAAAAACTGGCTTGGGCGGTCGGTGTTGGCAGTTGCTAGGCTGGAGCACTGGAAGGGGTGTCTGGAGTGGTGGAGAGAAGTGCTCGCGAGTACAGGCCAGTCAGGGGGAGAGAAGTGCTCGGGAGTACTGGCCAGTCGGACGGGAAGGCAGCGAAGCCAGGAGAGATGCAGGAGGTGGGAAGCCCAGGGTCCGGTGATGGGGTCCAGTTCCTGGGGGTTCCCGGGAGAGGAGCGCGTGAGGGCACAGAGGGTCACCGTGCCCGTGAGGAGAGGCCACGGAGGGGCCAGCACCTGGTGGGGGGGGGACCTCCGAGGGTCGATGCTCTCCAAGAGCTCTTTGGCTCATTCATGGTCAGAGTTCGCCAAGCGAACTGCAGCCACACAGGGAGTTCTGCCGGCCCGCTGGTCCCTGGCTCAGAGCTCACTGGACCTCGCTGCATGTCCAGAGCTTCTGTGAGACTTCTCCCGTGGGGCTCTCCCGAAACCAGCCCGAGAGGGACGGCCCGACCTCCCAGAAGACGCTCTCCTTGCTCCTGGGAATACGACGGCAGACTGATTCCCCCATGGCCTTTCCTGTTTAGGGGTTTGGTTGTTTGGTTGGTGTTTGTTTGGGGGGCCACCCCCGACGGTGCTCAGGGTTACTCCTGGGTCTGTGCTCGGGAATCACTCCTTCACTCCTGGTGGGCTCGGGGGACCAGGTAGGGAGCGTCAGAGATGGAACGGATGAGCCGCGTGCAAGGCGAGAGCAGGACATCTGTCCTATCTCTCTGGGCCCTTGTCTCTTCTTTTTTTCTTTTTGGGTCACACCTGGTGATGCTCAGGGGTTCCTCCTGGCTCTGCACTCAGGAATTACTCCTGGTGGTGCTCGGGGGACCATATAGGATGCTGGGACTCGAACCTGGGTCGGCCGCATGAAAGGCAATTGTCCCAGCCACAGTGCCATCGCTCCAGCCCACCCTTGCCCGTTCTTAATTGATTTATAGCGTTTCATTTGGAGAGAGGCAGGGCCCACTCCCAGGGATGCTGGGGGCTGCACCCAAGGCCTCCCCAGGGAAGCATGCACTCCATGCACTCCATGCAGGATAGGCCGCTCCTATCCTTTATATTTTCATTTTTCTGATTATGGTAAATATGGGCTGGAGCGATAGCACAGCGGTAGGGCGTTTGCCTTGCACGCGGCCAACATGGGCAACCCGAGTTCGATTCCTCTGCCCCTCTCGGAGAGCCCGGCAAGCTACCGAGAGTATCTCGCCCGCACGGCAGAGCCTGGCAAGCTCCCCGTGACGTAGTCGATATGCCAGACACAGTAACAACAAAGTCTCCAATGGAGACGTTACTGGGCCCGCTCGAGCAAATCAATGAACAACGGGAGGACAGTGAGAGAGAGTGATGGCAAATGCATAAGCAAGATAAGCCTCCCTTCCTAACAGTGATGTCTGGCGATGCTACGTGCCTGGTTGTCTGACTGCCCCCCACCGTCCCTCTCTCCAGAACTTTTGCATCATCCCAAACGGAGTCTGCCCATCTCTCTCCCGCCCCGACTCCAGGTACCCCCCCCCCAGGAGGCTCAGTAGGATTCATCTCTGCAACCCTCGGACCTCCCACAGCAGCGTCTTCTAGGCTCCCCGGGCTCGTAGCTCGTGTTAGAATTGCCCCCCGCCCCTTTGGTTTGGGCCACCCCAGCGGCTCTCAGGGCTTCCTCCTGCCTCTCTGCCTTCACGAATCATTCCTGGCAGTGCTGGGGACCCTGTGGGATGCCGGGGGTGAACCCAGGTCAGCCGTGTGCGAAGCAAGCGTCCCACCCACTGTACTATCATTCTGGCCCCCACTTCTTTCCTTTTTAGGGCTAAATAGTCTATTAACAGGTGGATAATCTGTTAATCCATTTTTCTCTGTCACTGTCACTCTCCTCCCTTTGTTCATTGATTTGTTCAAACGGGCTGGAGCAATAGCACAGCGGGTAGGGCGTTTGCCTCGTATGTGGCCGACCCGGCCGACCCGGGTTCGATTCCTCCGCCCCTCTCAGAGAGCCCGGCAAGCCACCGAGAGTATCTCGCCCGCACGGCAAAGCCTAGCAAGCTCCCCGTGACGTATTTGATATGCCAACACAGTAACAAGTGTCACAATGGAGACGTTAACTATTTTTCTCTAGATTAATTTGTTTTGGGAGGAGTTTGGACCACATGACCTGTGCTCAGGGTTCATTTCTGGTATTCAGAGAGGGATCCCGGGGATTGAACCTGGTTGTCCACATGCACGGCAAGAGCCTTAACCCCTGTGCTAGCTCTCTGTGGACTTCTCCAGATCTTTCGGTTTCTGACTCACACCCGTGTTGCTCAAGGCTGGCTGCTGGCTCTGTGCTCAGGGATCACTCTTGGTCACTCCTGGTACTTGAGGGTCACTTCTGGTCCTTGGAGATCACTCCTGGTCCTTGGAGATCACTGCTCTGGGGACCATATGCCTGGACAGGGGCCAAACATGGGTTGGCCACGTGCAAGACAAATGGACTATCTCTCCAGCCCACTCTCCAGATTTTAGAGGTTGTTTCATTACATCAAATGCTGTCGATGGAAGATTTCATACGAAACCATAGTGTGCTTGTAAGGATTCTTCTTCCCTTCTTGTACACTTTGTTTTTTTTTTTTTTTTGGGGGGGGGTGACTTTACTCCTGGCTGTGAGCTGAGGAGTCACGTCTGGGGTGCTCAGGGGGACCATACCTGGTGCGGGGGAGCAAACCGGGGTCCGACACACACAGGAAAAGCCTCCACCACTGGGCTGCCTCTCGCCCTGCACTTGGGGACTCTTGTCTTTGTCACTGGCTTTTCCTTCCTATTTCCACCTTGGGTTTATTTTATACGCGGCGAAGGGCCTGAGGACAGTAAGGAGCAGGACACTTGGCTTGCGTGCGGCCAGCCTGGGTGGGACCCTTGGACCACAGATGGTCCCTGAGCCTGCCAGGCGTGATCCCTGGGCTCTCGGTGACACACACGGTGTGGATGGGACCCGGGGTCTCACACCTCCCTGCAGGGCGCATTGCGGGAGCTCAGCTTTCTGGCCTTAGCCTTGCTGTCTCTGGGTGTGCTGTCTGGCAAATGACGGGTTATTGTCTTTGCTTCTTTACTTTTCCTTCCTGTTTCCTACCTTTTTAGTGAGAGTTCATGACCTTCCAGCATTCCTATTTTTTTTCTTTTTTGCTTTTATTTATTTGTTTATTTATTTTTTGGGGTCACACCCAGCGGTGCACAGCAGTTACTCCTGCCTCTGCACACAGGAATTACTCCTGGCGGTGCTCAGGGGACCATATGGGATGCTGGGAATCGAACCCGGGTCGGCCACATGCAAGGCAAACGTCCTACCTGCTGTACTGAGGGAGCCGGCCTGAGGGTCCGTGCTGAAATAATGTCTTCATGGAGTTGGCAGCTACCGGGGTTTCTCTGTGAACACGGATTCAAGGTCTTTGTTGTTCTCCAGAATCGTTGTTAATGTTCCCTTGGAATTGTCAGCGTTTTTGTCTGTGTTTTAAATAATCCTCAGTGGTTGTTATTGGTTAGCAAAGGATCCTCGGTTAATGGATTACTCACAGAAGCCGAGGTGTTTCGGTTTTCTTGTTCATTTGTTTTTGGGCCACACCCGGTGATGCTCAGGAGTTACTGCTGGCTCTACACTCCAGAATGGCTCCTGGGGTGCTCAGGGGACCCGATGGGGTGTCGGGGACCAGACTCAGCTCAAGGCAGATGCCCTTCCCCCCGCTGTCGCTTCGGCCCGGGAAGCCGGGACGCTCTCTGGCGTGAACTAGCTGTGTTCTCTTAGGCAAGGGAGGTCCCCGTCAGCCAGAGAACTTTCTAGGGCAGGAGCACCCTCTCCCTGGCCTCCCTGTGGCTGCCGAAGTGGCCTTCCGGTCAGCTGCCCTGGCGAGGGGCCAGCGGGCAGCCCTGGCAGCGGCCACGCCCGAGCAGAGAAGCGCTTGGGTGCCCGTCTCCCCAGCACACCGTGACGCCTGCCCGAGGTGCCTCTGTGCTGGGGGCAGAGGGCAAGTTTCAGGGACGGGCCTTGAGACCCCTGGCAGTGCCCAGCTTTTCAGCGGCTCTGACCAGGCAGGCACTTGCCTGGCATGGTGGGCCCTGGGGTCCAGCCAGTGCCACACGCCCGCCACCCCGGCACCACCGGGAGGGGCCCAGGTGCCCAGAGCGCTGCCAAGTGTGGTCCCACAGCTGACAACCACACACACACACACGCACACACACACACACACACCCCAAACTCTCACCTCTCACCATTCTTTGTACTGTTTAAAATACAGCACCAGCATCGTTTCAGAAATTACTTCCCTTACAATTGTCTCAGGTTCGATTCCTCTGCCCCTCTCGGAGAGCCCGGCAAGCTACAGAGAGTATCTCGCCAGCACAGCAAAGTCTGGCAAGTTACCCATGACGTATTCAATATGCCAAATACAGTAACAACAATTCTTAAAATGGAGATGTTACTGGGCCCGCTCGAGCAAATCGATGAACAATGGGAGGACAGTGCTACAGTTATCTAACTCATTTCTCTTTAAAACTCATGGGAATTTGGTTCTTTATCTTTCTAACTAGGGTGGTGACATCATTAAAAATTAGATTTAGGGGCTGGAGCGATAGCACAGCAGGGAGGGCGTTTGCCTTGCATGCGGCCAACCTGAGTTCGGTTCCCAGCATCCCATATGGTCCCCCCAGCACCGCCAGGAATAATTTCTGAGTGCATGAGCCAGGAGTAATCCCTGTGCATTGCTGGGTGAGACCCAAAAAGAAAAAAAAATCAGATTTATCTGGGGCCAGAGCAGTAGTACAGCAGGTAGGGCACTTGCCTTGCATGTGGCTGACCTCGGTTCAGTCCCTGGCATCCCATTGGTTCCCTGGGCACCACCAAATGTGGCCCAAACACCCCCAAAACAACAATTACAACAACAACAAAAATCTATACTTTCCCTTCGCCCAGTTAGGGGCTAAGTGGGATGTAACGGTGAGTGATTTGTGGTTCTGGACCCTGATCAACAAAATTTTTCCTGGGGGAAGAAAACGTGACACAGAGGAAACAGGTGGCACACGCCGGGCTGGAGCTGACCACAGTGGGCAAGTGCCTCCCGGAGCCTGGGCCGTGCATCCAGCCCTGCCCCCATTGGCTCCCTCTCGGTGGGCAATGCCAGCACTTAACCACTTTGTGTAAGAGTAAAAGTGCCAGGGTGCCAACGAGCTGGTGTGGGGGGGGGGGAGGAGCTTACCTTGTATCTGGCTGAGTCACTTCAATTTTCGGCACCACATATGGTCCCCCGGCATCACCAGGAGGGACCCCTGAGCGCCAATGGGTGCGGCCCAAAATACTAAAACTCTAGGGGCCAGAGTGATAGTGCAGCATGGAGGGCATTTGTCTTGCACGCGGCCAACCTGGGTTCGATCCCTGACATCCCATATGGTCTCTTGAGCACTGCCAGGAGTGATTCCTGAGTGCAGAGCCAGGAGGAACCCCTGAGCATCACCGGCTGTGACCAAACAAAAAAATAAATAAATAAAAGACCTGCAAAGGAGCCAGAGAGAGAGTATAAGGGTTAAGGCTCGTGCCTTGCGTACGGCCGACCCCCGGCCTGTCCCTGGCACCACACGGTTCTCTGGGTGTCACTGGTAGTGATCGGGTCCCCTGATGCGTTCAGGATCAATATATGTTCCCCTAGCTGGTGGGCAGAAGAACGGGTTACAGGCTGGTGGCTGGCAGCATTTTTATTGAAATCAGACAGGGTTTACGTAGGAAAAATATAAGGGTGGGGGGACAGGGATTAACATGGGGTTGGTCGAATATAAGTATAAACGTGGATTTGGTTCAATCTAAATATAAACTGGATTTCGTTGAACATAAAAAGATATGAAGTGGGGCTGGAGTAACAGCACAGCGGGTAGGGCATTCGCCTTGCATGCGGCAACCTCTGGGTTCAATTCCCAGCATCCCATAGGGTCCCCCGAGCACCACCAGGAGTAATTTCTGAGTGCAGAGCCAGGAGTAAACCCTGTGCATTGCTGGGTGTGACCCAAAAAGCAATAAATAAATAAATAAAAAGAGATAAAGTGCTTTCTTCAGGGCAGGTCCTTCTGGGAGACCCGCCCAGGGGTGCCACTCCATCTTGGGGGCTCCGGCGTTCTGGACTCTGGCCCCAACATTTGAGTATCACCTTGTACAGCCCTGGACACCCCCATGCACCATGGAGACCTCAGCATCACCAGATGCCCGGGTCGCTCCCGGCAGCACCACGGCCTCGGCCCGAGCACTGAACCTCTGGTCCAGTAGGTGGGAACACCCCGAGTTCTGGTTGGGGGGGCCCTACCACGCCCCTCGTCCCCGGGACTGAAGCTACAGAGCGCCACTAGGTGGGGCGAGGAGTGATGAGCGCAGTTTTTCTCAACAGGCTCTTCTAGAACCATCCGGGCCCCTCCAGTTCTCTCATTTGTCTGTTTGAATGGTCCCTGCCTGGTGTGTGTGGCCTGGACCGCCGGCGCCTTCCCGACGCCCACCTTCTTTCCCCTGCAAAAGGCAGCCGGAGGTCGGTTGGTGGGACGCGTTCTCACTGCTTCTGGGGGTCCCGCCGTCGTCCTCGTGACCCGGGAGCACTGACCCCGGGGCCTTTGTGATTCCAGGTGCCGGTGACGTTCGACGACATCTCCATCTGCTTCTCCACGCCGGAGTGGGAAAAACTGGAGGAGTGGCAGAAGGAGCACTACAGGAGCATGAAGGGCACCTCTGAGCCGCCGGCGCCCACAGGTGAGACCCGGGGGCCCCTCCCCACACGGCTGGCCCCTCCCGGCGTGCAGGGCTGATGCAAGAGGGGAGACGAGGTCTCTAAGAGCGTTCCTCCACCTTTGGCCCACAGGCTGTCCTGGGTGGGGGGCCACAGGTGAAAATCGTCGTGGAAGTGGGGGGCACAGCGTGAGACTCGGGGGCCGGGTGGGGGGCTTGGGAAGGAGCCGCAGGACTGAGAGCAGACTACGGGGGCCCGAGTGATGGTCTGGCTGCGGCTCGATTTGGTCCCCGACACCCCAGAGCATTCCCCAAGCGCCACCAGGAGTAATCGATGAGCACTGGTTGTGGCTCCGAAAAGTAGCACGGCTCTAGGTCCAGCCCGGGGACCCCCTGGCACAGACTGCTCATCCCCTGGGGCCTCCCGGCTCACAGCCCTCTCCCGTTCCCTCCTAGATTACGCCATGAACCCGCCGGATGTCCTGTCTCAGATGCAGCCTGAGGGAGAACACAGGACGGAGGCCCCGGCGGGCCCCGAGGGAGCTGAGATCCCAGCCCAGCCCACAGAAGGTGCGTGCAGCCGCTGGGCTGGGGGTCACCGTCTTTAACAGGAGTGGGTGCTCTGGGGGTGCCCCAAAGGGGACCGGGGAGCCAGGTCCCTCACAGCTGCCCTTGTCCCAGGGCCAGTGCACGGGCTCTCAGGATTCCCTGGGCAGTGCGGGAAAGGCAGACCTCTCTCTGCCTCTCCTCGGTGCTCAGAAAACCACCCACAGTTTTTGTTCTTTGCTGGACAGAAAGATTGTAGGAGGTTCGACCTGCAGGGTCCGGAGTGATGGCACAGCGGGTAGGGCACTTGCTCTGCGCCCAGGAATTACTCCTGGTGGTGCTCAGGGGACCATACGGGTGCTGGGGATCGAACCCTGCCTGGCCGCATGCCCCAGAAATCGATTTCTTTGCCTTTTTATTGATTTGCGAGAAGGGACTCGTCCTCCCTGTGGTGCTGACTCTCAGGAGTAACCCCTGGCAGTGCTCAGGGACCATTTGAAGTGTCGGGGACCGGATCAAGGTGAGCCGCCTGCCAGGTGAGCCCCTTCATTCCTGGGCTCGATCTCTGGTACCATTTTAAAGCAAAAAAGATGGTTTTTTTGTTTGTTTGTTTGTTTTTGGATCACACCTGGTGATGCACAGGGGTTACTCCTGGCTCTGCACTCAGGAATCACTCCTTGCAGTGCTCGGGGGACCCTATGGGATGCTGGGAATCGAACCCAGGTCGACCACATGCAAGGCAAACGCCCTACCTACTTTGCTATCACTCCAGCCCCAAAAAAGGGTGTATTTTAAAGCAAACCTTCAGAAGTACTGTAAATATTACTTTCATCGTCACTGTCACTGTCCTCCCGTTGTTCATCGATTTGTTCGAGTGGGCCCAGTAACGTCTCCATTGGAGACTTTGTTGTTACTGTGTCTGGCATATCGAATACGCCACGGGGAGCTTGCCAGGCTCTGCCGTGCGGGCGAGATACTCTCGGTAGCTTGCCGGGCTCTCCGAGAGGGGCGGAGGGATCGAACTCGGGTCGGCCGTGTTGGCTGCGTGCAAGGCAAATGCCCTACCGCTTTATTGGCTCTTTTGGAGATTTCCTGCAATTGTGATTTGTTTTTAAATGGGTTCACTCAGATAGTTAGGCTGCGTGTAACATGTCAAACTCCATGGTTGGTTTCTCTTGGCCAGTTCCACCAGATGCCAAATGTCATTTTTCAAACTTAGTTTCGTTTCGGCTGGAGATGACTATTCAGCATCGTGTTGGGCAAGCCACTGGGGTTATTTCTACTCTCAGATACAGACTCTGAACCCCTTTCCCTTCCCCTGGAAACAGAACCCGGCATCTCCACGTCAGACATTCTGTCCTGGATTAAACAAGAGGAAGAGCCTCCGGCCGGGGCCCCTCCAGAGCCTCCAGAGAGTGACATCTACAAAGGCACCTTCGCTGGTGAGTGGAAGAGAACTGTGAGAGAACCCTGAGCCCCCCACCCCCGCCTTGCCACAATAGGGACCACTAACCCTAGAAAGTTGGTTTGTGGGGCTGGAGCGATAGCACAGCGGGGAGGGCATTTGCCTTGTACGCAGCCAACCCGAGTTCGATTCCCAGCATCCTATAGTGTCCCCCCGAGCACTGCCAGGAGTAATTCCTGAGTGAAGAGCCAGGAGTAAGCCCTGAGCACCACCAGGTGTGACCCAAAAAGAAAAAAAAAAAGTCGGTTTGCATGGCCCAGTGGCGTGAGGCAGTCTCGCCTGCGTGGACCTGGCCCTGCAGTGCCGAGTGAGCAGAGGACAGCGCGGGCAGGAGTAGTGGACAGGCCGGGGTGGGCTCAGCGCTGGGTGGTGGTGACAGAGGAAGAGAGGAAGAGAGCCTGTCCGGGCACAGGGCCCAGGCCTCTGTCCACATGCTGCCGTGGGCAAGTCCAGCAGGGGGGCCCTGGGTCCCTGGCCACGCCCTGCGCCCCCCGCCCCCCGCCAAGAGCCAGTCGGGCGGGCACCGCAGGGCTGACGGTGTCCTTTGTTGCAGACGGAGAGCTGGTCATCAAATCCGAAGGCCTGGTCAGGCCCTCCCTGTGCCCGGAGGGTCCCGCCACCTTCTCGTCCCCGCCCGACCCCGCGGCCGCCAAGGACGCCTTCCCGGATGTGGCTTTCAAAAGCCCGCAGCCTGCGCCCATGGTCCCGTTCGGAACCCCGGCCCCGGCGCTGGCCGAGGCCCCCGAGGGCCAGGTGACCTTCACCCAGCTGGGCAGCGCCTACCCGCTCCCGGCGCCGGCCGCCGAGCCCGTGTTCTCGTGCCCGCGCTGCGGCAAGGGCCTGAGCCAGGACACGCTGCTGAGCCACCAGTGCGGCCCCCTGGCCGGGCCGGCCCTGCCCTGCGCCCAGTGCCCCAAGCACTTCCCCCCGCTGCCGCCGCCCCCGCCACCGCCGGCCACGGGCCCCGCGCCCCCGGCGCCCCCGGCGCCCCCGACCTGCCCGCACTGCGCCCGGACCTTCACGCACCCGTCGCGCCTGACCTACCACCTGCGCGTGCACAGCAGCGCCGAGCGCCCCTTCCCCTGCCCCGACTGCCCCAAGCGCTTCGCCGACCCCGCGCGCCTGGCCGGCCACCGGCGCGCGCACGCCAGCGAGCGCCCCTTCCGCTGCCCGCAGTGCGGCCGCAGCTTCAGCCTCAAGCTCAGCCTCCTGCTGCACCAGCGCGGCCACGCGCACGAGCGGCCCTTCTCCTGCCCGCAGTGCGGCATCGACTTCCACGGCCACTCGGCGCTCATCCGCCACCAGATGATCCACACGGGCGAGCGGCCCTACCCGTGCCCGGACTGCAGCAAGAGCTTCATGCGCAAGGAGCACCTGCTCAACCACCGGCGCCTGCACACGGGCGAGCGGCCCTACCCCTGCGCGCACTGCGGCAAGAGCTTCATCCGCAAGCATCACCTGCTCAAGCACCTGCGCACCCACACGGGCGAGCGGCCCTACACCTGCGCGCCCTGCGGCAAGCGCTTCCGCTACAAGCAGACGCTCAAGGACCACCTGCGCGCCGGCTGCGGCGGCGGCAGTGGCGGCGGGGACGGCCAGCCTGCTGGGCAGCTGCCCGACCCGCCGGGGCCGCCGCTCCTGGCCGGCCTCGAGACCTCCGGGCTGGGGGGCAGCGCTGCGGGCCTGGAGGCCGGCCCCTGGTACGGGGACGGGAGCGCAGGGGGCGCCGTGTAGCTGCCCCGGCGTGTCGGAGAGGACCCTGGCTCACGGCCCGGCGCCCGTCCCCAGGGGCGACTGGGCGGCGCATCCCCTGCCCTCACTGGACCAGCCGTGCCCCAGCCTGGTACGTCTCCGCCTCGGCAGCACACCCCAGTTCTGAACCCGGGAGAGCTTTGGAAGGTGCCCACACGCGCATCTCTCCGCGGTGGCTGCCCACGCGAGGTCGCCCCTCCCCGCCCCCTGCGCACGGTTCATCCCAGCCCCGGGAGGAGGGGGGAGCCCCGGAGAAGGACCCCAGCCGTCAGCCTGGCAAGGCAGGGACGGCTGAGGGCTGCTCAGGGATTCCTGGGGTTGACGGAGCAAGCAGCCGGCTGCCTCAGGCCCCGTTCCTGCCCCCCTGCCCTGCCCTGGCCTCCCAGGGGGGCATCCGTCTGCAGACACCTGAAGGACCACCTGCTCCCAGGCCCTGACTCCAAACTGACTGGGTTCCCTCGGCCAGTTCTCACGTTGGGGACGGGCGCTCGGAGTCTCAGGCTCCTTGAGGAACGTCAGTCCTGACTCATAGGCTCTGGGGCTGCTGGCACCCTAGGGGTCAGGCCCTGGAGTAGAACCCAGAGCCGGGGAGGCCACTTCCTGCTGCATTTCGGCTCAGGTCCCATCTCCCCCCAGCCGGGCCACCTGTCTCCAGCCCCTGTGTAAGGGTCCCACCGGCCCATTCCCAAGACCTCTGCCTCCGGGTTCTCATTCCGGGCAGCTGGGAGTGAGGCGGCTTCCCACAGCCTCCAAGGCCATGCACACCCAGGCTTGCCGGCAATCACCGAGCACTGAGCACCTCTCCCTGACCTTGGCTGCTGTGTTGTCCTGAGCGCCAGACCTCGGCCACTCGTGTCCCTTATGTGGGTCCTTCAGACCCAGGCGCCATGGAGCAGGGCGTGTTCCCTCCGTGGCTTTGCAGTGGGGCAAAGTTCTTTTGTCTTTACAAATCTCAAATTCTCATCTGCGACACGAGGCCTTGAAAGGAAAAATCCGGAGCCTAGTGAAATAAAGTATTTAAGGAACTCGTGCTGCATTCCTTCTGAAATCCTCTCTCTGGCACCTGTCCAGCCAGGGCTGAACCCGCCAGGAGAGCCCCAGCAGACAACAGTCTTGCTAACGCTTGACCAGGACAATCGGGTGTGTTTGTGTTACCCTTGCTCTGTGCCTGAGGTGGGAGACGAGGATGCAGAATCCCCGAGAGGGGCTCAAGAAGCTGCCTCTTCCCCGCAAAGGTGCTTTGGGTTTTGATTTTAGGGGGGGCCCGGGGCTTACTGGCCTCCGCTCCGGGCAGGCTCGGGGGCCACATGTGGTGCTGGGGACAGGCTTGCACCCCTGAGCTGCGGGGATTCCTTGAGCTGCAGCGGGGGACTCATTTCCCCTCCATGCCCGCTCCCACCTTGGTGGTCCCTGCCATCCACGGACTCGGTGGCAAAGTGCGTTACCCTAAGTTGCCACAGTTCCTGCCAGGCCCTGCCCCAGCGGCGGCCCTGCAGGGGGACCCATGTCTAAAGTCTCCGCTCGCCGGCATGCACCGGTCACAGTCCAGGTCCCAAGGGAGACCAAAGGTCCAGTGTGAGACCTTGTCTGCTATTACTGCTCACGGACAGGGTGACGGGGGACCTCAGCCTGGAGCAAGCCCAGCCATGGCCCAGCCCCCAACACACCGGGACTAAGCGCCCTAGCTCAGCGGGGCCCGCGGCTTGGAGCGACGCGGGCATTCTGGGACTCCCAAAACCAGGCCCGCCTACACTTAGCCCTGAGTGTAAAGGTTTGCGTTTCCACCTCTCTCAGGAGAAGGGAATCTAAAAACATGAGTCTTGAGACTAGGGAGGTGGGACAGAGACTACCTTCCCCAGTTGGCCTGGGCCGAGCTGCGGCCAGGGCCTGCCCATGAAGGGATCTTTGAGGCAGGCATGAGGCTGGTCTAGGGAAGCTCGAGTTCGTCTGCACGCTGAGGCTGCAGTGCCCGTTGGCCAAGACGTGGAGTTTGAGATGGCTGCGGATGGATCCGCTGCCCCCTGCAGGACCTGGGTGGGGGCAGCAGGGCCCACTCCTGGGCACCCGGGCACCCGTGTGAGGAGAGCTGGGGAGTGGAGGGAGGCAGGGGGCCTGGTCAGGATAGACGAAGGCGTCCTCCGTGTTCACTGCACACTGGGAGGAAGCACGCGTGCATCTGGGCACCTCTCGCTCAGCCAGGCCCCGCCAGGGACCAGGCCCGCTCCAGAATGGGCAAACGCGGAGGAATCCTAAGAGGAGGGCATGTCGCTTGCCTTGCGCAAAACCGACCCGAGTGTGATCCCTGGCATCCCGTATGGTCCCCTGAGCCAGGAGCAAGCCCTGAGCACTGCCAGGTGTGCCCCCCCCCAACCTGCAAAGAGAGAATGGAAGGCTGACCATATGTCTCGGACCAGCACCGCAGAAGACCTCTGGATACTACCTGTTTGGTTTTAGAGAGACCCAAAGCTGGGCTTGGGGAAGAGGGAGAGGCTGAGAGACAGCTGAGGGGCTGAGCCAAGAGCTTAGAGCAGAAAGGGAAACCTCCCCTATGCCTGGTCCTGCCTGTGGGCTCCAGGGAGGGGCCGGGGCTACCAGTTCCCAGGGTGACCAGAGATGCCCCTGATGGACAGAGTATTAGATGACTTACTCTCTCCTGTTGATCGTTTGATGGCCACGACTGGGCTGGGCTGTCCACTAGCAACAAGCAACGTTTCGTCTCACTATCTTCATTCTTTGAGCAGAGTTCCAGGGGCCACTGGGCTGCTCTGGGGGGCGTCCTTAGAGGGATTGGATGCCCAGGCCTTTTCTGACCAGGGCCAGATCCGCTGACTTCCTGGGGACCAGCAAATGTTCCCTGTCTCAGAAAAAGCTTTGTTGAGAAGAAGAAGGAGGAGAAGGAGAAGGAGAAAAAGAGAAAAGGCCGTGAGTTCCTTCCTATTGCTTCCTGCTAGGATGCTAGCCCTGAGCAGGGCACACGCTTCTGTCCCGCTGCCCTGAAGAGCAGATCCCCGACCCGCTGTCTTGTAGCCTCTCAGGCAGCGGAAACGTGCCCGGTGAGTCGAGTTGTTCAGTAGCAATGGAGAAGAAGCAAATCTTCCCCGCTGACAGGCTCTTAGGAGACTCTGGGATGGACGAACGAGGACAGGGCAGTCAAGGCGTTTGCCTTACCCCGACCAACTCTGGCTCAGTCCCCAGCACTGTGCATGTTCCCCTCAGCACCACCAGGGTTCGCCACGGACCCTGAGCCAGGAATAGTCCAGAACACCCCTGGATGTCCCCAACCCCCCTCTCCACCAATGAAAATGTAAAACATCATAATCTCACACATGCACCATGTCTTGTTAGCTCAGCTTAGACTGATTGCTTCTTCTGAGCAAAACGTCATTTCACTTCTGTTTTGTTTTCTTACGGGGGATCAAACCCTTCTCTGCTTAGGAATTACTCCTAGCAATGCTCTGGGGATCATATGGGATGCTGGGGATAGACCCTAGGGTTGGCCACCTGCAAGGCAACTGCCCTACCTGCTGTACTGTCACTCAGCCCAAAGTTATTTCACTTTAAGACCCACAACCGGGGCTGGAGCCATAGCACAGCGGGTAAGGAGTTTGCCTTGCACATGGCCAACCCCGGTTCGATTCCCAGCATCCCATATGGTCCCCCAGCACCACCAGGAGTAATTCCTGAGTGCAGAGCCAGGAACCAGGAGTAACCCCTGTGCATCACCGGATGCAACCCAAAAAGCAAAAAAATAAAAATAGGGGCTGGAGCCATAGCACAGCGGGTAGGGCGTTTGCCTTGCACGCAGCCGACCGGGGTTCGATTCCCAGCATCCCGTATGGTCCCCCGAGCACCGCCAGGAGCAATTCCTGAGTGCATGAGCCAGGAGTAACCCCTGTGCATCGCTGGGCATGACCAAAAAAAAAGCAAAAAACAAACAAACAAAAAAAAAAACCCAAAAAATAAAAATAAAAAAAAGACCCGGGCAAGAGAGCTAGGACAGTGGGCAGAGCACTTGCCTCGCACATGGCTGACCTGGTCTCAATCCCTGGTATCCCATGTGGACCTCCCAGAGATGAGCCAGGAGTAAGCCCTGTATAGCTCCAGGTGTCACCCCCAAGGAGAACAACAACACCAAAAAAAATCAACTACCTACTAAGGCCAACGAGACATTACGGGAGATAAAGCACTTACTTGCATCGCATGCAGCTATGTCGGATATGACCCGGTTTGAATCCCCAGTACCACTTGTGGCCCCCGAGTACCACGATGTAGCCCCAGAGCACCCCAAAGCCCCTGCCCCCAGCAGATTGAATAGAGAAAGTAGGTTCACGCCCTCAGTCAGAGAAGCCTCAAAACCAGCGTTTCGATGTTCCCAAAAACATCCAGGTCAGAGAGAAAGTGTCACAGAGCGCATCACAAGGGCCGTGAGACTTTGCTCGTTGGCCGAGCGAGTCCAGTGACTGTGACTTCTGGAAGCTGGCCCTCCAAGCCAAGAATGGGGACTGGAGTCCATCTCCTAGAGTACAGCGGAAGGGTGCCTGCCTTACACGCAGCTGACCTGGGTCCAATCCCGGGAACCCCATATGGTTCTCGAACCCCACCAGGAGTGATCCCTGAGCACCTCTGAGTGTACCACCCCCACCCCCACCCACCCAAATAAAAGCCAGGACTGAAGGCCATATTTTCCTTTGCATCCTCCATGGTGCCAGATGTGTGCTTGGTGGGTAATTGGGAGGCCCACCAAGAGAAGGGTTCAAAGCCAGCGGTACAGCCAGGGATGCATAAGTCACCAGCCGACCACTTGCCTTGAACGTGGGAGGCCCTAGGTCCAACCTGTGGCACTCCAAAAAAAAAAAAAAAGGAGGGGGGTATGTGTTTGTTGAGGGGAAACCAGATTCTGGTCCTGCACTAACCGTCTCCACCCAGCGGTGATAGAGCAAGATACTGTTCCCAGCTCGACTCATCAGCCTAATCCTCGTGTCTGAACCAGCGAGGTCCCTTCCAGCGTAGGACCTGCACTCAGGAGTTGACTCTTGGCTCCTGATTTTCTCGTCCGGGTTCTCCCCAGATTCTCTGCTGACAGTGCTCAGAATGGCTAAGAGTTGAGCATTACTGCAGAGTGATGCGTCTCATTCTAGCCATAGATATATCAACATCTTCCGAAGACACCAGACAAAACTCAGCTACACATTTTGCTTTGCCTTTGTTTTAAAAAAATTTTTTGGGGGGGGGAGAGAACACACCTGGTGATGCTCAGAGTTTGTGCTCAGGGGTCACGACTCCTGGTGGTGCTGGGAGGACCATATGGGATTCCAGAGGTTGAACCCAGGTCAGCTGTGCAAAGCAAGCACCTTCCCCGTTGTACTATTTCCCTGGTTCCTAAAACTACACTTTTTGGGACTCTGTGGGACAGTGGTACTTCTAGGATGCTTGGGCTTATTCAGTAGTTTAATTTTCCTCTGAAAAATTTCCAGTTTCTCTAAGATGAAACAATTTGTGTTGAGGCATGTTTGTGTAGAGGCATTTTGCTGTTGTTGTTTTTGGGCCACACCCTGGGGCACTCGGGGCTACTTCCGCTCAGTGCCTGGGGGCTGCCCCCAACAGTTTGACCGTGTTTTGGGGATTCTGTGCCACTCCAGGGATCCAAACTCTGTGTGTGTGTGTGTGTGTGTGTGTGTGTGTGTGTGTGTGTGTGTGTTTCCTAAGGGCAGAGTATGCCCTCCTCCAGCCAAGCCCTGTATGTAGCATTTGTTTATTCGTTTGTTTGGGGGGCCACACTCTGCGATGTTCATATTTTATTTGTTTATTTATTTTGGCTTTTTTGGGGGGTCACACCCGGCGATGCACAGGGGTTACTCCTGGTTCTGCACTCAGGAATTACTCCTGGCGGTGCTCAGGGAACCATATGGGATGCTGGGAATCGAACCCGGGTCGTCCGCATGCAAGGCAGACGCCCTCCCCACTGTGCTATTGTTCCAGCTCCCGGAATCACTCCTGATGGCGCTCAGGGGACCACATGGGATGCTGGAAATGAACCCAGGTCAGCCGTGTGCAAGGCGAGCGCCCTCCCCGCTGGACTATTGCTCCAGCCCTACCAGACGGGAGATTTCTGAAAGGATTTAGGTCCTTCCACCACGGAAGCAAAAAAAAAAAAAAAAAAAAAAAAAAAAAAAAAAAAAAAAAATCCCAGGAATTGCTGTTGGGATCTTTGGCTCTGAGTCCAAAGTTCCCCAACCTGAAGTATGGTAAGTGAGGGGCTGGCCCCCCGCAGTAAGAAAGGAGATTTCTTCTTTCCTGTCTTTTTGTTCTACGGAGACCCTTAAGGACGCCCACCCTGGAGGGGGAAATCTTCTTTAATCATTGGACCCTTCAAATGCTAATCGCTGGGGGTTGGGAGACACGGCACTGACCAGCCTAGAAAGTTTCCCTGACTCTCTGGGCAGCCCCGGGTGCCTGAGCCAACGGTCAAAGGTAACCAGCACGTAAGTGACCAAGCTCTTCCCAATCCCCTCTCCTTGGTCACTCAGGCATCCTTTAGCTTGGTACCTACTCCTACAGTTCTGCCATCTCGAGCTGTGGAAGTCAGAGGGGAGAGAGGGCACCCGAGAGAGATCAAGGGGTCAGCCCAGGCTCCCCCCTTATTTTTTTTTTTTTTGCTTTTTGGGCCACACCCAGCGATGCTCAGGGGTTACTTACTCCTGGCGGTGTTCGGGGGACCATATGGGATTCCAGGAATCGAACCCAGGTCGGCCAAGTGCAAGGCAAATGCCCTCCCCGTTGTACTATTTCTCCGGCCCCCATGCCCCCCCCTAAGAAGAAATGTTTATCAACGACAATATTTGGGGCCCTGGGAGAGAGCTGAGTGGTGCTTTACAGGCGGGAGGCCCACATCGGATTCCCAGCACCTACACGGTCCCTGGGGGGGGGAGAATCCCCAGCCCACAGCACCACCAGGCGTGGCCCCAAAGCGCCAAACCAAAGAAATAATAATATCTGACACTTGCAGCCCCCTTTGTCCAGGTCCCTCAGAACTGCCTCCCGCTCACCATCTGATTCTCAGAAACCACCACTAGGGCTCAAGGTGCCGGGTCCTGGGCCTCTGGCAGGGTCCAGCCCCCGGGACGCTGGTGTGGCTGGAGAGAAGTCCTGGGGCTGCGCCCCTCTGGTTTGCTTTCGGGGAAGCCCCCTCGACCCCGATTCCCTACTGGTGGAGAAACGAGGCAAGTACACAAAGCCTGGTCCTATCTGTTTGTCCCTCCTGCAGTGCGTGCCCACAGCTGTTCTCTAGTGGGACCCCCCTCGTAAGCCCACCCTGTGGAGGAGAACAGAACAGAGAACAGAAGCAGATTCCTCAGATGGTGAGGTCCTTTGGGTGGGAAGGAAGGGATGTGCAAGAGTCGAGGCTAGAGGGGAGAAGGCGCCTGATGTGCAGTTTCTATTCTTCGACTTGAGTTCTTCCCTCTCTCGGACAGGGTGGGATGCGTGCAGGAAAGTGGCCCACGGGTGGCACTGGGCTTGCTGCGGGAGCTTGTTCCGCTCCCTGCATTGAGAGCAGTGCCCAAAGCCAAAGAGAGATGCTTGCTCCGTCCACGGCTCCTGTGGCCGGCAGAGCCGTTTGTCCAAGAGCCATGGGGCGGGGGGCAGCAGGCACCTTTGGTTCTGGTGTGAGTCAGCCTCCTCGCAGGAACCCAAGGGTTCCCTGAGCTCTGTTCTCTGCTCGTTGGGTTCCTGAACTGTGGAGCAGCACTCTGGCTTGCTTTTCATTTGGGGGACTCACCTGGCGGTGCTCAGGGCTTACTCCTGGCTCTGTGCTGAGGGATCACTCCTGGTGGGCTGGGGACCGAACCTGGGTTGGGCGCCTGCCAGGTAAGCGCCTTACCTGCCGTACTTTTAATATTATTTTGGCGGCCCTGAGCCAGAGTCAAGCATCCAGGACAATTGCCTTGCATGAGGCCGACCCCGGTTCTGTCCCGGGCATCCCAGATGGTTTCCCCGGGCACCTCCAGGAGTGATCTCTGAGAGTGCAGAGCCAGGAGTCAGTCCTGAGTGTTGTCAGGTGTGGCTCAAAAGAAAACAACAACAACAACAAACCCTCAGGGGCTGGAGTGATAACACAGCGGGTAAGGCCCTGCACGCGGATGATCCGAGTTCAATTCCCAGCATTCCATATGGTCCCCTGAGCACCACCAGGAGTGATTCCTGAGCGCAGAGCCAGGAGTAACCCCTGTGCATCGCCGCGTGTGACCCAAAAAGAAAAAAAAAAGCCCTCAGTATATATATTATTATTGTCTTGGTTTTGGGGACCCGCCTCGTGGTGCCCAGAGCTGCTTTCAGCAGGATTGCTCCCGTCAATGTTGGGGGACCCGACCCAACCCAAGCCAAGCCGAGCCCCAGCCCTTTGAGCCGAGGGCTTGTTCAATCTCAGTTGCAGAGAGGCAGGGAGGTCCCGACAGGGGACAGGCGAAGTCGTCCATCTCTCCGGGGATCCGTGTAATTAGCGGGGACTCAGCCCGGGGGGCAGGTCCAGCGGCAGAGGCCTCCAGCGGGCTCGGGGGTGGGCTCCGGACCGGGTGCTCGAGTCTCCCTGCGCCATCCGCTTGGGCCGCCGCTCAGCGGGGGTGGGCAAGGGCTCTCCCCAGGAGCCCCCCGAGGTCTCCTGTCCCCGGGGACGGCCCGGAGTGGGCCGGGGCCCGTGGCCACCGGCCGGAGGGGCGAGTTTGGGCGGCGCGCGCGCGGCCGGGCCGCGGCCGGGGGCGTCTCCGGCGACCCTCCCGCGGGGCACCCCGGGGTGCGCGCGAGCGACGGGGGGGGGGGGTGGGGGCGGGGGGACCCGGCCCGGGGGCTGCCCCGCGGCTCCGCCCCGGGCGGCGCGGGCGGGGCGCGGGCCCGCCAGGCCATTGGCTGCGCGCGCGGGGGGACTGTTCGCTCCTACGGGCTGTAGATGGAGCTGTCCGGCCCGGGCGAGGGGGAAGGCGCCCGCGCTCGGTTCTTCTTCTCGGCGGCCGGCCCGAGCGGGGCACAGCACTCCCAGGATGCAGTTTGTGTCAACACGGCCGCAGCCGCAGCAGCTGGGCCTGCAGGGCCTGGGGCTGGACGGCGGCAGCTGGGGCTGGGCGCAGGCGCTGCCCGCCGACGAGGTGTGCCACCAGGAGCCGGCGCTGCGCGGGGACATGGCCGAGGGGATGCCGCCCATGCAGGTGGGTGCCGCCCGCCGGGCGCCATGGCCGCGCGCGGGGGGCGGGGGGCGCGGGGCGGCCGCGGGGAGACCCCCGGGGGGGGCGCGCGGGGCTCCCCGGGGGCGCGCGGGGTGCCCCGGGGGCGCGCGGGGAGGCCGCGGGGGGACACGGAGGCCCCGGGGTGCGGGTGGTGCGTGGAGAGGCCTGGGGGGCGCGGGGAGGCCCGGGGGCGCGCGGGGTGGGAGAGGGGACGCGGGGGGCTTGGAGGAGGGGGATCTCAGGGAGGCCCCGGGGGCGCGGGATACCGGGGGTCCCCCAGACCCGGGCTGCGCTCGCCGCCCGCCCGCAGGCCCCGCCGAGGCCGCCGCGCGCGCGATCAGGAGGCCCCGATGCCCCCCCCCCCACCCCGGCCGCGCCTGCCACCCGAGGGTCCCCGGCTCGCCCGTGTCCCGCGACCCCAGGGTGGTGGACCCCCCGCCCGGTCGGCTCGGCCTGGTCCCCCCCCACCTCCTCCCGCGCTCGGCGAACTTGGCCGCGCTGGAGAACGGCCCGGGCAGCCCGCAGGACGCGCGCCCCCAGCACCCCCAGCCCGTGCGCGCCCATGCGAGTCCCCGGGACAGGCTCCAGCACCTCCCCCTGCAGGCCCCGTGCACCCCCTACCCGAGCGCTGCAACCGTTGGCCCCGGTGACCCTCCCCTACAGCGTCCCCCCCAGCCTCTCCCCCCCCTACTGGGGCCTGGTCCTGTTCTGACAAGTCAGTGGCGGAGGATGTTCTCCGACCGTTTTTGGCAGCTTGGGGGGCTCTGAAGGTGCAGCCAGGGGCGGGGGCGGCGTCCTCTCCAGCTGTCAGCCCTTGTCCACCTGCTGCCCGCGGCCAGTGAAGCCAAAGGCGGGAGTCCCCTGGCCTCCCCTCCCCAGCGAGCTGGCCGTTGGGGCAAGGAGAGGCTTTCTGCGCCCCGACACCGCCCCAGAGAGCAGAGCGGGAACCATTGGCCTTTGTCCCCTCCTGGGGTGTGTCCCCCACCCCCACCCCCACCTGCACCAGGGACTTTTCTGGACTCATCCTTCTACTTCTGGGGACAAAAGGCTGCTTCAGGCTCTGGCGGTGGCGGGGGTCCTTGCCCCCAGCCCCAGCCGAGTCCTGGGGTACCCGCAGCCCCGCGGATACTCGCTGGGAGATCGCCCAGGGGGGTTCAGGCCTGTGAGCACCCCAAAAAGTCTTGCATCCACAGCCCAACATGGAGAGGGGCTCAGCCAGCCCGGGTCCTGGAGAGGAGTCTGAAAGCGAGGGGTGACCCATGGGAACTACCAAAGGGGACATTGATGTCTGCCGGGGCCCGAGGGGCAGGGACTGACTGAAGCGTGACCAGGGGTATCGGGAACCATCTGTCCCTTCCCCGGGCCGCCCTACGCCTCCCACTGAGCCTCACCTCTGCACTGCCCCTTCTTTCGCCCCTGTACGCAGGCTCAAGAGTGGGACATGGACGCCCGGCGGCCGATGCCCTTCCAGTTCCCGCCCTTCCCGGACCGGGCCCCCGTCTTCCCTGACCGCATGATGAGGGAACCCCAGCTGCCCACGGCTGAGATCTCGCTCTGGACCGTGGTGGCCGCCATCCAGGCCGTGGAGAGGAAGGTGGACGCCCAGGCCAGCCAGCTGCTGAACCTGGAGGGCAGGACGGGCACGGCCGAGAAGAAGCTGGCCGACTGCGAGAAGACGGCCGTGGAGTTCGGCAACCACATGGAGGGCAAGTGGGCCGTGCTGGGCACCCTGCTGCAGGAGTACGGGCTGCTGCAGCGGCGCCTGGAGAACATGGAGAACCTGCTGAGGAACAGAAACTTCTGGGTCCTGCGGCTGCCGCCGGGCAGCAAGGGGGAAGTCCCCAAGGTACGTGGAGACGCCCAGGGGGCAGCACATGGGACCCGCGATCACCGGCTCCGCAGCAGCCCCCAAGCTCCAGACGTGCCCCCTGAGCCAGAGGAACTGTATCCTCTTCTGAATTCCCTGTGTCCTGCTCCCTCCGCTGCCCGGAGCTGTCCCAGGCACGTGGCCGTGTCCACCCACCTGGGGGCTGCCCGGGCCGGCTGTGGCAGGCGCCTGACCGGCTTCCCAGCAAGGCCATCCCCCCCGTCCCCACCCTGTCCAAGCTGCAGCCGGGTGTGCAGCCTCTGCTGGCCGCATCCCGGAGTGGACACTTAGGACCATGTGTGGGTGCCCCACCCAGCCTGTCGGGTGCTCCAATCGAGCGGCCTGTTGCTCCCCTGACGACTCATCTCGCCTCCCCTCTGCATGCCTCGCTGGCGTGAGAACATGCAGTATCACCCGTGTTCGGGATAGAGACCCCCGATTCCACCCTGGCCTGGAGTGAATACCCTTATTTTTTGTGCTCCCCTTTATTTTCTTTAAATGATTTGGTCTGGGGGCCACACCTGGAGGTGCTCAGGGCTTAGCTTCTGGCTCTGTGCTCAGGGATCACTCCTGGCAGTGCTTGGGAGACCTTTTGGGGAGCCAGGATCGAACCTGGATCGGCTGCATGCCCGCTGTGCCGTCTCTCTGGCCCCTTGCCCGTCCTCCTTTATAGCAGAATTCCTTCAGTGAGGATCCTGGCCCCAACGCTTCCTTATTTATTTATTTTGCTTTTTGGATCACACACATCCATGCGTGGGAGTTACTCCTGGCTCATGCACTCAGGAATTACTCCTGGCGGTGCTCGGGGGACCCTAGGGGATGCTGGGAATCGAACCTGGGTCAGCCACGTGCAAGGCAAACGCCCACCCGCTGTGCTATTGCTCCAGCCCCGGCTTCCTTCTTCTCTCCCCTTTCCACCCTAAACGCTTTCGTGATTCTCGGAAGGTGATGGAGTGGCTTCGGGACCCCTCACAAGTCCATGCCCCTGGCTACCATTTGGGCTCTCTTGCTTCCTCGGAATCTTCACTGACTTCTCACTCCAGCCCTGGGATTTGAATCAGATAACAGGCACCATTCATTCCTTTTTTAATTTTTTTTTCGGGGGTCACACCTGGCGATGCTCAGCGGTTACTCCTGGCTCATGCACTCAGGAATTACTCCTGGAGGTGCTCGGGGGACCCTATGGGATGCTGGGAATCGAACCTGGGTCAGCCGCATGCAAGGCAAACGCCCTCCCCGCTGTGCTATTGCTCCAGCCCCCGCCCCTTTTTTTTTTTTTCAAATTATTATCATTTACTCTTACTGGTTGGTTTTTGAGTCACCGGGGGTGGGGGCAGTTCTCCTGGGCCCCTGCTGCTCGGCCCTCTGCCCGAATTGGACTGGTGTCCATCAGGCTCCATCTCTGTCCGCCTGCCCCGGACACCCTGTCACATGCAGGTGAGGACCCGCCGTCCTGCCCGCACGCGGCTTCCAGGACCTTCCAGATTCTCGGCTGCCTCTGGTGGCCTCCTCTGTCCCCGGTGGCCCCCCGGAGCTGCTGGCCCAGCTCTCTGTGACATGCCTCCGTGCACATTCCTGCCTGTCGCCCTGGCCGGGTAGCTGCTCATTTCAGCTATGGAGCCGCCGATTATTCCTGCCCGCTGCAAGGACCCTTTTTCTGTCTTCCTTTTTCGTTTGGGAGATGGGCACCCCGGGGCTATCCTCTGTGCCAGGAGGGAGCCCTGGCAGTGCCGGGCACCTCCCTGGAGCGGCAAACGGCACGGCGAGCTCCTTAAACCCTAAACTGTCTCTCCAAACCCCCGGCTCCTGCTCCCGTGCTCCCTGCACCCTCCCTCTGACCCTTCCCGGCCCTGTCCCCTGTCTCAGCTCCCCAGGGTCATGTGGCTCCACTGCCCTTACCCTCCGCGCTGTCTCTTACCGCCCAGTCGGGGCCCATTTGGCTTGGAGGTCCCCAACTCGTTGGTCTGGCTGGGCGGCTCTGGGGGCTGCATGCCAGCAGTGTGTGTCCAGGGGCTTGCCTGCTGTTCCCGTGGCCGGTCGCTTGGTGACCGCGTCCCACAGCAGCTGCTCCAGGTGGGAACAGCAGCCTCGGGTGAGACCCCGCTGCAGCCGGTCAGCTGCCCGCTGTGGGGTCCTCCTGTGTCTGCTCTGGGCGCCCACCGCTCCCCTGCTCTGGGCCCGCGGGGTCTCAGGTGTGGTTGTGTGTCCCCCCATGGTGCCGTGTGTTGAGCTCCCAGTGCTGGGCGGTGGGGTTTGTGAGGCGTCCTGAGCAGACACATGCCCCCCGGAGTGACTGTGGTCGTGGGGTCCAGAGGACCCGGGTGTGCGTCTTGTCTCACGGGCCGCGCTGGCCACTGGGCTTCCCATCTGAGTCCCCCCAAGTTCTTCTGGAGAGAAGCAAAGGGTAAAGTCATCTATAAGCAGATCCCCTGCAGGTCCCCCCCAAGTCTCGGCCTTCCTGTCTGTGAGATGAAATAGCAATTTGTCAAGTGGCGGAGTCATGGATTTTGTCTGTGGGAGAGTGCGCTGAGCTCGTGGTGCAGTTTACTCCGGACCAAGCATTTCCCAGGATGATTTTTGCATCTTCTTGCATTTCCTGTGGCTCAGACTGGGGTGTCGCCTGGCTGGGGGCTGCGGCTCTGTTGGCTGGGGGTCCCCGGAGCTGTGACGGGGCATGGGGGGATCTACTGGCCGCTGTCCGGGAGCCCAAGTGTCTTCCGGCCGTGACGGCATCGAGACAGGGCAAAAGTTTCCATGTTCTCTCAGGAGCCGTTGATGGCCATGGGATCAACACAGATCACTTGTGTTTTTGTGGGGACGACCAGACGGCCAGGGAAGGGAGCATCGGGCTCTGCCTCCGCAGGGCGAGATCTCGAACTGGTGGACATAGGTCTAGATGGGCCCCCACGGCTGCTGGGTACCTGGAGAGTATCAGCAGATTCTTGGTGGCCGCTGGGCTGTGGTCATCCAGGCCTGTGTGGATTCCGTGTCTGTCCCGTGGCTTGCGGGGCATTCACATGTAGCCTTTTCTTTTTTTTTTTTCTTTTTGGGTCACACCCGGCGATGCACAGGGGTTACTCCTGACTCTGCACTCAGGAATCACTCCTGGCGGTGCTCAGGGGACCATATGGGATGCTGGGAATCGAACCCGGGTCGGCCGCGTGCAAGGCAAACGCCCTACCCACTGTGCTATCTCGCCAGCCCCTGTAGCCTTTCTTTCTTTCTTTGGCTTTGGGGCCACACCTGGCATACTCAGGGCTTATTCCTGACTCTGTGCTCAGGGCTTACTCCTGGCGGGGATTTGGGGACCCTATGGGGTATGCGGAGTTGAACCCGGTGCAGGGCCGACAAACGCCTTACCCGCTGTGCTGTCACTCAGGCCCCAGTGAGAGCCTTTTCTACCCCTAGTTGACTGGTGCCCTGTGGCTCTGACGAACCCTGTCCCACCCGGCCATCCCACGGCCTCAGAAATTGAGACTGTCCCCAAAAAGGTGGGCAGCGGAGACAGGCCTGCCCTGGGCTGCGGCTGATCAGTTTGTGCTGAAAGACAGATTGAATAGAGCCACCAAGAGGACAGAAGAGGGACTCAGAGCAGTGTGGACGGGAAACGTCCCCGGAGAAGCCGATGAGTGCAGGGAAGCACCGCAGGGCCTGGGGCAGGTGAGGAAGGAGGAAAGTTTGGTGGCACCAAGTGGGAGAAGGTTCCAGAAAGGGAGCCTGCTATTCCTTTTTTTTTTTCTTTTTTGGCTTTTTGGTGATGCTCAGGGGTTACTCCTGGCTCTACACTTAGGAATTACTCCTGGCGGTGCTCCGGGGACCATATGAGATGCTGGGAATCGAACCCAGGTCGCCTGCGTGCAAGGCAAATCCCTCTCCACTGTACTATCACTCCAACCCTCTTTCTTTCTTTCTTTTTTTTTTTCTTAAATTGCAGTTTGTCCAGTCTTCAGGTTTTTGTGGGGGCTCTTGGGGAGTTTGGGGTCATTCCGGCAGTGCTCAGGGCTTACTCCTGGCTCTGTACTCGGGGACTGCTCTGGCAGGGCTGGGGGCCAGATGGGATGTAGGGATCGAACCTGGGTCAGCCACCAAAGGTGCTCCTGGACCAGCTGTGCGGCCTGAGGAACACGGGTGTGGGGGATCCTGGGGGCTGATCTTGGGGAGTGGCAGGGGGGCGGGAGGAAGAGCTGTGGGGTCAGAGGAGGCCCGGCCTGTGTCCATCACAGGGGAAGTGATTCGGGATGACTGGCCCTGTGGACACTTTCCGGGGAGGGGAAGCACCTTTCCCTGCCCTGAGCCTGTGGCTGGGTCACAGAACCCGCTGGACAGTGGGCACTGGGGCTCCGGGAAGCAACTATGGTTCCAGTGTCCATATATATATATATATCACGATCACGGTCCTCCCGTTGTTCATTGATTTGCTCGAGCGGGCCCAGTAACGTCTCCATTACGTCTCCATTGTGACACTTGTTACTGTGTTTGGCATGTCAGATACGTCACGGGTAGCTTGCCAGGCTTTGCCGTGCGGGCGAAATACTCTTGGTAGCTTGCCAGGCTCTCCGAGAGGGGCAGAGGAATCGAACTCGGGTCAGCCATATTGGCTGTGTACAAGGCAAACGCCCTACCGCTGTGCTATCGTTCCAGCCCATATATATATATGTGTGTGTGTGTGTGTATGTGTGTATATATTTGCTTTTTGAGTCATACCTGGCGATGCACAGGGGTTATTCCTGGCTCTGCACTCAGGAATCACTCTTGACAGTGCTCAGGGTACCATATGGGATGCTGGGGATCAAACCTGGGTCAGCCACGTGCAAGGCAAACGCCCTCCCCGCTGTGCCTCCCCCAATATTTAGTGATTCTGGGCGAGGTGCTTGTAGAAGGCAGGGACCCAGGGGTGAGCACAATGGACATCCCCACCTTTTAACTTTCCGTATTTCAGGGATGAACCGGGTCCCCTGTGCCCTGGCCTGGCATGCAGGGTCTCAAACAGGTTCCACTGCTCCCTGGACCCACTCAGAGAAACCTCCATCACCCCGCCACCCCAAGCTCCCAGCCCGTGACCTGGAAGTGAAAAGATGAAGTCAGGGTTAACCGCACGCAAGACATGGAGTGGGGGTGAGGGGGGCAGACCGTGACTAGAAAGGACCAGGGCCAGAGCCGGGGGCATCAGGGTGCGTGCAGGCGGCCGTGGGGTACGGAGGGTCTAGCCTGCAGGGCGTGAGCTCTGGCTCCCGCTGACCCAGGTGCCCGTGACCTTCGTGGATATCGCTGTGTACTTCTCTGAGGACGAGTGGCAGAACCTGGATGAGTGGCAGAAGGAGCTGTACCACAACCTGGTGAAGGAGAACTACCGGACGCTCATGTCCCTGGGTAAGTGCCCTGCCCACACGCCGCACCGGACGGGGCCCCAGGGGTGCCCGAGGGTGCGGGGCTTCCACCGGGCGCTGTGCTCTGTCTCCGAGCACTGGCCTTAAACTGCTAGACCCTTGGCCGAGTCTCGGCAGGTGTGGGCCCTGGGACCCCTGAGCCCTGCTTGGTGGCACCCACATGCCCCCAAGCTGCCCAGGAAAGACAAGACGAGGGCATGTCACACGAGCATGACGTTGTCCCGCCGGCGGTCCCTTGCTGAGATGGGTTTTCCTGGGCTGGACACGGGTCTGAGACTTGGCTCCGGGGCCTCCAGGGTGGCTGCCCACACGCCCACAGGACCGGGACTACCGCCATCAAGGGACGGAGGTGGGGGACGGCGGGGGACTCTGCCATCGCCCCCGACCACCCGAGGCTGTCTCACTCGCCCTGCCTTTCCTCCCCTGCAGACGCCGAGGCGCCGCCGCCCAAGTCCGACGGCCCATCGCAGCCCGAGCCCCGGGAGGAGCCGTGCGTGTGGGAACAGCGCGAACCCGAGGAGAGGGACATCCTCCTGGAGCCGGACCCAGGTGCCGCAGGGCCGGGCGCGGGGCAGGCCGGGGCTTCCCAGCCTGACTCTGGGGCACCAGGGGGTCTGTCCTACGCGGACCCTCTCCCCGTCCTCAGATACCCATTACGGTCGGCGGGTGCTCCTGGGCGCTCTCCTCTCCCGGCAGGAACCCGGTCCTGCAGGAAACACGCAGTGGACGTTTCCCATCTGTTGCATATAGGGGATGGAGTTGGCTGCTGGTTCCCCGATGCCCTTGAGGTCACCCTCAGGGTCCCAGCTATGACCTCGAGGTCGGTCTCAGGGTCCTGGCTGTGACACCTATGTCACCCTTAGAGTCCTGGCTGTGACCCTGAGGTCCGTCTCAGGGTCCCAGTGCTCCCGAGCGTGAGGGCCAGGCAGAATAGGTGCCCTGACTGTTCTCTGCCCGGCGGTCTCAGCTGTCACCCACGTGCCCGTGTGCTTCCTCTCTGTGGAGAGCCCCTGTGGGGGGCTGCTTCTCCCCCAGACCAGCGAGCTTCTCCTGGATTGTTTCTCCAGGTGCCAGGACACACCCTGCGCCGACTCTGACCCAACCCTCGACCCACCCTCCACCTTTCCAGTGTGGTTCAGAAATTGTGTAGGCATCAGATTCTGGAACGTTCCATCACAAGAAGCCCAAACCCCCCTTAGCCGCCCTTTTGCGGCTTGCATCCCTCACTCCCCGCCGTGCCCGCCCCCCCCAACACACACACATACACATGTCAGCCCCGAGTTCTGCTCCAGATGTGTCTGGATGTCCGGTCCTCTGAAACCAGTCACCTGGACACACACCATGAGAACCAGGTCCCCAGACCCGCCATAAGGAGTGGGACCAGCAGGCAGAACCGCAGATTTGGGGACAGAATTGGTGCACGGCTTCTGGCTCCTCCCCGATCTCATTCCCTGTCCCTTTCCTGGGCCGGGGCCTCATCCTGAGTGGCACGGGAGAGGGTCACGTCTCTCTTTGTCACCTCCCGGACTCTTGGGAGGGTCCATCTCTCAGTGACACAAAGGCACGTGTGGACTGGCCAGTCTCAAGCAGTTACTATGCCCAAGAGGCTGGTGTTGGCCAGGAAGTGGACACCCTCTCACTGGGGTGGGCACAGAACCAGACAGAACTGATGGCCCTTCGCATGAGTAATAGCCACGGCCACTCCTGGCCAGCACCTCCTCAGAGGCTGCTCCTCTTTTCCTCCCGTTAACCTTCGGGAGTGCCTCCTGACCCTCTGTCAGATGAAGGTGGAGAAATATTCCCTCCCTGTCTCTGGAGTGGCTTTTTACTCTCCTCCCTTTATTTTTATTTATTTATTTTTGGTTTGGGTTCACACCCAGCAATGCTCAGGAATTACTCCTGGCTCTGCATTCAGGAATGACTCCTGCAGTGCTCGGGGACCATATGGGTTGCTGGGGATCGAACCTGGGTCGGCCACATGCAAGGCAAATGCCCTCTCCTGGACTATCGCTCCAGCTCCACAGTCCTTGATTTTTTTTTTTTTTTTTTTTTTTTTTTTTTTTTTTGCTTTTTGGGTCACACCCGGCAATGCACAGGGGTCACTCCTGGCTCTGCGATCAGGAATTACCACTGGCGGTGCTCAGGGGACCATATGGGATGCTGGGAATCGAACCTGGGTCGGCTGCGTGCAAAGCAAACGCCCTACCCGCTGTGCTATCGCTCCAGCCCCAGTCCTTGATTTTTTTATGGTGCAGAAGCAAATCCTTAGTTTGATGCAGTCCCATTGTTCCTCTTCTCTTCTTTTGACTTGGCTATAAGCATGGAATCATTGAAGATGTCTCTAGGTTCAATATTGGGTTTTTGGGCCACACCCGCCTGTGTTCAGGGCTTACTCCTGCCTCTGCACTCAGGGATCATTTTGGAAGGAGCTCGGGGCAACCGTACGGGATGCCGGGTCTCAAACCCCTGTCAGCCACATGCATGGCAAGCGCCCTATCTGCTACACTGTCTCTTGAGGCCCCCTCTAATTCACTATTTTTTTTCCTTTTTGGGTCGCACCTGGCGATGCACAGGGGTTACTCCTGGCTCTGCACTCAGAAATTACCCCTGGCAGTGCTCAGGGGACCATATGGGATGCTGGGAATCGAACCTCGGGTCAGTTGTGTGCAAGGCAAATGCCCTACCCACTGTACTATCGCACCAGCCCCTCTAATTCACTTTTTGTTTTGTTTTTTTCTAATTCACTTTTAATAGGCTTTGTGCATGGGGTTAAGAGGGTTTGAGTTTGTCTTTGTCACATGTGACTGGCCCGTCTTCCCAGCCTGCCGTGGAGGGACCTTTCCCTGTGCCCGTGTCAGCGATCGGCCGTCTACCCAAGAACCTGTCTCTGGGCTCTTGATTCGATTCCCCTGATCTGTCTCTCTTTATTTCACTGCCGCAGTGTCTTTTTGTTTTGTTTTGGGGTCACACCCAGTGATGCTCAAGGCTCACTCCTGGCTCTGCACTAGGAATCATTCTAGCAGTGCTCAGGGGTCGTTCTATATGGGTGCCGGGGATCAAACACAGGTGACCCGCATGTAAGGCAGGTCCCCTCCCGCTGGACTGCGACTCAGTCTTGATTCCTGTAGCTTCACAGCATGATGGAAAGCTGGGGAAAGAGAAGCCCCCTTCATTTTCTTGAGTTGCTTTGGCTGTTGGTGGGGGGGAGGGGTTGCTTCCGGGAACCTGCACCTTCCTATACCTCTAGTCTCCGGCCAGCCCTTCCCGCTGAGTGGCCACTGCGCCTCCGTGTCCTGGTCCTCCTGCTTCTTGGGGTCCCCATCACCGCCTGAAGGAACCTGTCACCCCTTCTCTCCCCTGGCCCCTGTTCCCATGCACTCCCCTGACAAGTGCTGTCTGCCATGTGCCTGTCCCCACTGGGTGACTATCCTTCAGAAAAGAAGCCAGCGGGGAAAGTTCAGTGGTCAGCGCCTTCCTGCAGGCGTGCGGAGCGGCCCGGGAAAGCTCAGTGGTCAGCGCCTTCCTGTAGGCGTGAGGCCAAGAATTTGATCCCCAGTCCTACTCTGTTGGCCGGTCCCGGTGACACAGCTGTGTGGCCCCACAGGCGCAGGGGGACGGGACGGAGTGAGGTCTACTCCGAGCGCCTCACCTGTGCTTCTCCGTCCCCAGAAGCAGAGCCCCTGGTGCCGGCGCAGGACACGGCCTCACAGGTGAAGCGCGAGGCCCCTCTCTGTGACCGCGCCCAGCGGGGCCTGGAGGACAGAGCCGTGGCCACAGAGTCCATTACCGGTGAGTGCGCCCAGCACCGTGGACGCGGGATTCTCCAGGGGACACAGAGACACGTGGGTGGGCGCGTTCTGGCTGCTCTCGCCATTGTGACTTTTCTTCCCCACTTTTGTGGCGCTCCGGGGATTGAACCCCAGCCGGCCTCGTGCAAGGCGAGAGCCCTTCCCGCTGGACACTTGCTCCTGCCCGAAACAGAAAAATGTTTTTGAAGATTAAGCCACCAGCTTCCTGGAAAGCGCTGGGAACCGCTCTCGGGACCCTGGCCCAAGCACTCGCTTTCGAGAAAGATCCTGGGAGTCCCTGAGGCGCCTGGGATGACCCAGTTCGGGGACGGCAGCTGCCTCAGGGCCGGGCTTCCTGGAGGCGTCGCGGGGAGCCAGTGCAGGGAGACGGGGAGGTGGGAGGAGTGGAGGTGGGTAACCATGCAGTTCCCTGACCCCGTGGCCACTCTTCTTACGAAAGCAGACTCGCCAGCCTCTGGCCCCGACCTCCTATCCCGGATCAAGCAGGAAGAGGCCCCATGCGTGTGGGACCAGCAGGACCTGACCGACAGGGACATCCCCACGGACCCCAACTCAGGTGAGCCGGGAAGGGTCTCAGCCCCACGCAGCCAGCATCGTCAGAGGACAAAGAAACCAGTGAGATGAGACCAGGCAGCCACGGGCTGTTTGGAGAACGCCAGTAGGAAGCAGGAAGGAGCTTTCTAGAGGAATCACTGTGTCGGTCAGTGACGTGTCCACAGAACTGATCGTAAAACTCGTTCTAGGGGGCTAGAGTGATAGCACAGCGGGTAGGGTGTTTGCCTTGCACGCAGCCGACCTAGGTTCGATTCCCAGCATCCCATATGGTCCCCCAAGCACCGCCAGGAGGGATTCCTGAGTGCATGAGCCAGGAATGAGCCAGGAATAACCCCTGTGCATCGCCAGGTGTGACCCAAAAAAAAAAAGAAAAAAAAACTCGTTCTATACTGATTTTTGGGGGGGGTCTCAGCACTAAGGCCACACCCAGCAGTGCATCTGGTCCCCAGGATGCCTCTGAAATGCAGGCAAATGCACTCCAGCCCGTCAGCGCTGATCGAGCTGCAGAGAGAGCCCGAGGGGCAGGGCAGAGAACCCTCTGCGGCCGCCCCAGCTCCGTCCCCTGGGCTCAGAGCCAGGCCTGAGCACTGCCAAGCGTGTCCCCTGAAAACAGGCATAACCCAGAAAGCTTCTAGGGACTGGGGAGACAGCTCTCGGGGGCGGGGGGCTGATGGCCTCCTGTATGTCAACTGGGGGCAGGCTCCGGGTGGCCCCCCCAACCAACAGCAACCCAGGGGTGAGGGGTTCCTGCGTGAAGGGAGACTCTGCCTGCCAGGCCCTGTTTGTTTATGTGAGTGTGTGAGTGTGTGGCTCTGTGTATGTTGAGTGAGTGTGTGGTGTGTTTGTATATGTTGTTATGTGTGTTTGTGTTGAATGTGTGTTGTTGAGTATGTGTGTGTGTGTTGAGTATGTGTAGTGTTGAGTGTGGTATTTGTATGTGTGTGGTGTTGAGTGTATGTGAATGAGTGTGCATGGTATTTGTGTGTGGTGTTGAGTGTGTGTCATTGCATTTGTGTTATGTGGTGTTGAATGTATGTGTATGTGGTATTTGTGTGTTGGAGTGTGTGTTAGTGGTGTGTGTGTATTTGTGAATGTGTGTGTTTGTGAGTGGTATTTGTGTGTGTGGTGCTGAGCACGCGTCTGGTTTTCCACACGCAGAGCTGGTGACCCCATTGTCTTGTCGTATGCCCCCAGCATCTCCTGGTCCGGGAAGGTCGGGAAGGTCGGGGAGGTCGAGGTCCCCCGATGGAGCAGTGGGGGTCAGGGCAGGAGGGGCGGCCCAGCCTCCATGCCCCTCCTCCACTGCTCTGTCCCCCGCTGGCCCTATGGCTCGGAGCTCTGGGTCATCCCAGACCTGCGACCCGCCTCCCCTGGGCCTACTGGACATAGGCTCCCTTCCCTCCCGCAGAGTCGCTGCTCTCAGCACACGACATCCTATCCTGGATCAAGCAGGAGGAGCAGCCGTACCCCTGGGGTGCGCGCGACTCCATGGAGGGAGAGCTCGGACTGGACTCTGGCCCTGGTGAGTAACGCAGGGGGTGCAGGCGCGGGGTCAGCCCTCCCGGCCCCTCCCAGCGTCCTCCTCCTTCTGGCCCACCGTGTCCTTAAGGCGCATCTCCTCTCCTTGGGGACTCCTGACAGGGCCCCCGTGGTGGGGGGGTGGTTTCCCTCCCTTGTCAGCTCCCTTATCAGGAACCCCCATGTGGTCACACCCCAAGGTACCCAGGGAACAGGTTCCCACTGACCCAGGGAGGGCTGGGGCCGGAAGGCCAGCTTAGAGGGGGACACTAGGTGGGCACTTCCGGCAGCGGGGTGGGCTGATCGTGTCTCCGGAGCTGGGTCTCCCTGGAGGGTCCCGAGCCGGGCAGCAGCCAGTGGAAGAAGCCGGTGGCTAGTCCAGCGGGGAGGACGCTTGTCTTGGCTCACGGCTGACCCGGGCTTCATCCCCGGCACCCGATACAGTCTCAGAGGTCTTGCCGGGAGTGACCCCTGAGCCTTACCCGGATGGTGTGGTTCTGGTGGTTGATGCTGGGGAACCCCTTCTCCCCGAACTGAGGAAGTGGGAGAGAAAACCGGGGGTGGAGGGGCCGGGGAGATAGCGCAGTGGGCAGGGCACTTGCCTGACCGACCCACGGCTCTGTCCCAGGCACTGTGTTACTATCCCCCGAGCCAGGAGTAAGCTCTGAGCACCATTGCCTGCGGCCCCCAAAATAAATTTTAAAAAAATGAAAGGAAAAGAAAATGGAAATGAGCAGGGCAGAGGGTAGGGCAGGCCACTGGGAGTGGCTGTGCATGTGGCCTGGGACCTGTCCATGCAAGGACACCGAGAGGAATGGTGTTTTGTTTTGTTTGGCTTTTTGGGTCACACTTGGTGATGCTCAGGGGTTCCTCCTGGCTCTGCACTCAGAAATTACTCCTGGTGGTGCTCAAGGGACCCTATGGGATGCTGGGAATCAAACCCGGGTCGACTATCCTCACTGATAGAAGTTTCGGGGCTATGGACGTGCCTTGCATTCAGTGGTGTGTGGGCTACAATGGCTCTCGGATCTCACCCTAATTATATCAGCACTTTCATCTTTTTTTTTTTTGGTGGCTTTTCAGGTCACACCTGGGGTTTCTCCTGGCTCTGCACTCAGGAATTACCCCCTGCGGTGTTCAGGGGACCATATGGGATGCTGGGAATTGAACCCAGGTCTGCCGCGTGCAAGGCAAAGACCCTTCCCACTGTGCTATTGCTCCAGCCCCAGCACTTTCATCTTTTGTTTTTATTTTTGTTTGCTTAAGGGCGACACCTATCTGTGCTCAGGGCTCCTGGGTCTGTACTCAGGCTTCCCTCCTGACTCTGCTCAGGGCTCACTCCTGGCTCTGTGCTCAGGGCTGACTCTGGCTCTGTGCTCAGGGCTTACTCCTGGCTCTGTGCTCAGAGGCTGCTTCTTTTGTTTTCGGAGCTTCCCCAGAGAACATATATGGGGTGGACACTGAACTGGGTCAGCAGCATGTAAGGAAAGTGCCTTTCCTGCCAAAGTAATTCTGGCCCTACATTTCCCCTTTTATTAGGGCAGAAGGGTTCAAACCCAACCTTCTTTTCTGCTCTCTGCAGAGCGAGGCACATCCCCTGGTTCTCCCAGCACCTTCCTGCAATCCTCACCCCAGCCCTACACCCCTGCACACCTAGACCTGTCTCTGACTTCGTGCCCTGGTCTGGGGCCAAGCCCCTGGCAACCAGGCCAGACACAGTGCTCGTGGAGAATGGGGAGCAGGGTACACTGAACGGGGGTGGGGGTGGGCAGCTAGGCAAGTGGGCCTGTGTGATTTTTTTTTCCCCAGAAGGGCGCAGGGCTGTGGAGTGGGGAGTGGAGGGGTGCAGAGGCTTCCAGGAAGGACACTCCCAGAGCACCCCCTGTGGTGCTGGTCTGCCAACACCAGTGTGCTGGGTCCCAGAACTAGACGGGAAATCACTTCTGGTGTGAGGGATCATCGGAGCACACGGAGACTCCGTCAGCAGTTTCCTGGAGATGGTCCCTGGGGTGCGGCTTCACGTGCCTGCAGCTCCCTGGTGGGAGGCCCTCCTGGGAATCAGGTCTGGATAGAGCAGAGCAGGTGAGGCAGAGGGAGAAGCAAGTCTGGTACCACGGAGCATCCTGGGGACATCCTGGAGCACCCACAGGGACCAGGCCCAAGTGGGGAAGTATCCTGGCGGGAGGGGCGGACACCACTCTCCACCTGCTATGTCTGTGCTGCTGGTACCTGCCTGAGCAATTTTTTTGTTTTTGTTTTTTATCTTTGTTTGTACTTCAGTTTCTGGTTGGGCCTCACCCAGAGGTGCACAGGGCTTACTCCTAGCTCTGCATTCAGGGGTCGCTTGTGTTGGGCTTAGGGGACCATATGGGATGCCGGGGATCGAACTCCAGGCAAGTGCCCTACCCACTGTCTATGGCTCCAACCCCCTGGACAAGCTTTGGCTGGCTAAGGGATTACTTGTGGGTGGTCAGAACAGGCGTCTCCTGGGCCCACCAAGCTCAGAAGTTTGGTTGGAGCTGGGGTAGGTGTGGCCTCTGGGAAGCACATCTCCCTGGACAGAGAAAGGGATGGCCAAAGTGTTGGGTGGCAGATGGCCAGCTTGACCTTCTCAGTTCTCTCCCTATACCCAGCCGTCCCCCGCCATGGGCAGGGACATACCCTGGGAGTATGGGCAGGACACGGTGAAGGCATCACAGAGCTAAATGCGGGGGCCAAGCAGTCTGTCCTCACTCCGCAGTGGAGACCAGGCCCAAGGCCACTTCCTGCCCTGGTGTCAGAGCCTGGACTTTGGGTTCCACAGACCCTCCAGGTCGTGGAGCCCATGGGAAAACATTGTTGCCGGGGCAGGAATAGTCTCTGGGGAGGGGCTCGGGAGCCTTCAGAGGGCACCGCCCAGGCGGCCTCACACCTCTCCAGGCCTCTGACGTCCAGGAAACATCCCAGTAAGGAGAGGGGCTATGAGGGTCCAGCCCTGGGCCGCCCCTCCCATAGACCTCCATACAGGCTTTGCCGTTTGGATAACTTCTGGCAAATTCCTTCCCTCCAGTCAACAGAGCCTCGAAGGTAGATTCCCATGGAACCTGCAGGAGACAAGATAGGTCTTGGGCTGCCCCTCCCCCACCCACCAGCCCGTGGGTGTGTTTCCTGGCCAGCTGAGTGCCACCTGCAGGCACTGTTTTCTAGAACCTTCCAGCAGGGGGCATTGGGTGGGGTTTCCCGGCCAGCTGAGTGCCACCTGCAGGCACTGCCTTTCTAGAACCTTCCAGCAGGTGGCATTGGATGGGGTTTCCTGGCCAACTGAGTGCCACTGCAGGGGCTGCCTTCTAGAACCTTCCAGCAGGGGGCATCGGGCAGGTTTCCCTGCCAGCTGTATGCCAGCTGCATGCCAGCTGCAGGCACTGCTTTCTAGAACCTTCCAGCAGGGGACATTGGGCCGGGTTTCCCCGCCAGCTGTGTGCCACCTGCAGGCATTGCTTTCTAGAACCTTCCAACAAGGGGCATTGTGCGGGGTTTCCTGGCCAGCTGAGTGCCACCTGCAGGCACTGCTTTCTAGAACCTTCCAGCAGGTGGCATTGGATGGGGTTTCCTGGCCAACTGAGTGCCACTGCAGGGACTGCCTTCTAGAACCTTCCAGCAGGGGGCATCGGGCAGGTTTCCCTGCCAGCTGTAGGCCAACTGCAGGCGCTGCTTTCTAGGACCTTTCAGCAAGGGGCATCGGGCAGGGTTTCCCTGCCAGCTGAGTGCCACCTGCAGGCTCTGCTTTCTAAAACCTTCCGGCAAGGGGTATTGGGCGGGGTTTCCCTGCCAGCTGAGTGCCACCTGCAGGCACCGCCTCCTGGACCGCTCCAGCAGGTGGCCTTGGGCAGGGCGCGGGGCCCCTGCGCGGGGGAGCGGTGGGTGGCACCCCCGTGGCTAACCCGGCCTCCTCCTCCTCCCGGTCCCAGGTGACAGCCTGCTGATGGTGAAGAACCCGACCCCCGCGCCCCCGCAGCCACCGCCCGCGGCCGCCCCGCCGAGCCTGCCCGCGCTGCCCGCCTCCGAGACGGCGGGCACGGCCGGGGCGCCGAGCCGGGGCGCGGGCGCCCTGCTGGACGAGGCCTTCCCGGCGCTGCCCGGGGAGCGGGGCGCGGGGCGCGGGGCGCGGGGGGGGAGCGGAGCGGCGCCCGGCGGCGGCGCGGAGGGCGGCGGCGGCGGCGGCGGGAGCAGCAGCAACAGTAGCAACAGCGGCGGCAGCAGCGGCGGCAACAGTAACAGCGGCAACAGCGGCGGCGGCGGCACCGGCTCGGCGGGGGGCGCGGCGGCGGGCGCGGCGGGGGGCGGCGGGGGGCTGCGGCAGCTGCTGCGCGGGCGGGCTGCGGCGGAGCCTCCTGGTGCACGGGGGCGGCGGGGGGCGGCGTTGGCGGCGGGGGCGTTGGCGGCGCCCGCAGCAAGCCCTACTCGTGCCCCGAGTGCGGCAAGAGCTTCGGCGTGCGCAAGAGCCTCATCATCCACCACCGCAGCCACACCAAGGAGCGGCCCTACGAGTGCCCCGAGTGCGCCAAGAGCTTCAACTGCCACTCGGGCCTCATCCGCCACCAGATGACGCACCGCGGCGAGCGGCCCTACAAGTGCTCCGAGTGCGACAAGACCTACAGCCGCAAGGAGCACCTGCAGAACCACCAGCGGCTGCACACGGGCGAGCGGCCCTTCCAGTGCGCGCTGTGCGGCAAGAGCTTCATCCGCAAGCAGAACCTGCTCAAGCACCAGCGCATCCACACGGGCGAGCGGCCCTACGCCTGCGCCGAGTGCGGCAAGAGCTTCCGCTACAAGGAGTCGCTCAAGGACCACCTGCGCGTGCACGGCGGCCCGGGCCTGGGCGCCCCCCGGCCCCCGCAGGCGCCCCCCGAGCGGGACTAGGGCTGGGCCGGGGGCGCGGCCGGGGCCCCCCCGCGCTCCCGCCGCCTTCCTGGCGCGCCCTCCCGCCCGCTCTGCCTGCTGGCCGTCTGCTGGAACCGGACTCGCACCCCGACCCCGGGGGGCCGGGGGGGCGTTGGGGGGGGCGCCCCCGTGGTGCCGCAGACCGGCCCCCTGCACCTGGTCGGACCACCGGACGCGTCGCGCTCGGCCCCGGCTCGGCCGAGCAACTTCTTGCCAGGAAGGGGCCAGCCACACACACACTGGGGGGAGGCCTGACCCCCGGCGTGAAGTCACGGGTCGGTCGCGGTCACGGGGGTCTTCTGCGGGCCCCCTCGGAGAGACGGACTTAGGGTCCCAGGGTCCGGAGGCGCCGAGTGAAGGGGTACCATCTTCTCGACACTGCCTCGCGTTTCGGTAGCGCTTTCTACTTTTTTTGTAAACGTGTTTTCTATCCGGTAACCACTCGCTCCCTTCGCCCGGCCCGGCGGGGTAGCTGGCACTCTCCCGACTCCGAGGACAGAGCGGCCCAGGGCGCACGGTTGACCCGCTTGGCACGGCGGGGGCGCGCGGCGGAGCCCCGCAACGGCCCCCGCGCGCAGGGCTACCTCCCGGGGTACCCCCGGGCCCGCCCCCCTCCCTGTCCCCCGCGGATGCCACCGGGGTCAGAGCCCGCGTGCCCGGGACCCCAAGGCCCGCCGTGCTCCCGGAAGCTCCTCCAGGGCCCCTCGGGGTGCGTGGGACCCGCTCCAGCCCGGCCCGCGGGGGCAGCCGACCTGGAGGCGACTCTCCGCCCCTTCAGGGCCGGGCAAGTGGGTGCTAGAAATCTGAGCGCTCAGTCTGTCTTCCCTGAGCCTCCCAGCTGGTGCTATGGGCCCCTTCCTCTCCCCCTCTCCCTCGCCGACCCCCGTGCTCCTGGAGACGGACACAGCCCCCCTCCTCCTGTGGGCACATCTGCACCCCAGGGCCCAGCCTCCTCCATATCTGTGTCTTGCATGGCACCAGGGTCCCTCATGTGTGTCGAGGCTGACCCAGCCTGCGCCTCCCGGCCTCCCCGACCCGTGCCCCGGCTGTGCTCAGACCCCTCCTCTCCCCACGCCAAGGGAATTCTCGAAGCTAAATAAAAGACGTCCAGTTTGCAGCCTGCACGTGCTCCAGGCCCGTGGGGAGGGGGCTTCCCTATGGCTCCCCCTCACCCCGCTGCAGTGGGGAGCCATCCAACTGGGGGTGGGGGGTCCCCCTTACACTGCCCTGCCCTGCTTACAGGATGACGGACGATGTGTGCAGGTCAGTGAGGGCGGGAGGGAAGCCTAGTCCCCGAGTGGGGACCACACTCGGGACTGCAGAATCTCGGGGTGAGGCCTGAGGAAGCCCGTCCGCGGGGTCTTCTTCCCAGCACCACCCGATGTGGCCCAAGACACACAGTAGGCATTTTTTTGCCGGCCGGATAGATGGTTCAGCAGGATGGGCGCTTTCCTCGTCCGCGGCCGGCCCGGATTCAATCCCCAGCATCCTTATCCGGTTTTCCGAGCTCCACCAGGAGTGATGCCTGAGCACCATCAGGTGTGGCCCAAGAACCAAAAACTAAAAATGAAATAAGTTTAAAAAAATAAATAAAACAAGGAAAATAAGACCAGCTTGTTTTTGTTTGGGGGCCACAGGAGCTGCTCCCAGCTCGTACCGGGGGTCATTCCTGGTGATGCTCAGGGGGACCACACAGTGGCAAGCTCAGGCGACCAGCGGGTCCCCCTTCCCCTTCCCCCGGCTCTTGGAGGGATGAGGAGGGGAGACGCCTCCCCTGAGACACCGGCTCGCGGGTCCCTTTCCTTTTACCCTCAAGGAGCTGATTTCCAAAGAGGCCCGGGGCTCGCCCGAGGGGGCAGCGGTCGGCTCTCCTGTCAGTGCCTCAGCCCCACGCCCAGTGACCCCAGCCTCTAGTCCCGCTGTGGGGCGCCCTCAGTGAGCCCCCCACGGCAGATTCGAGCTGGCGATGCCCCAGGGCGGACAGGGTGGTCTGCTCTGCAGCAAGACAGCGTCTAGCTGGAGGTGGTGGGGGGGAATTTTTATTTTCCTTCTGATACTGTGTTCATTAAAATGCTTTGAATTCAAATACTCATGCATGCGGTAAAAAAACAAATCGTAATAAAAAGACAAGTCAAAGAGGAAAATACCATTTTTCCCTGTTGAGAACCTACTCTAAGAACTTCCGGGGTCCTCCAGACCCGCACTGGCTTCCTGGGTAGCTGGTGGCCTCATCCCTGGGCCCTCAGCCTGAGGACTGGTACACGCAGCCACAGTGTCCTGCCTTCCTGCCTGGGCGCACACTTCACTCAGAAGCTGCTTCGGGAACTCCGCAGTGAGCACAGCTGAAAGTGGGGTACGCTAGCACCTGCAGGGTGTCTGGACCCACCTTGCGATGTGCAATCGAGATCTGCAAGCAAATGGGGGGGAAGGGGGGAGGGGACTCAAGGGGGAAGGGCCTAAGGGTACTTGTGAGGAACTTGTGAGATCAAACTGGAGCGTGAACCAAGCCACTCCAAAGCATGGGGCCGCCGGAAGGAAGAGGCTGGAGGAGTTTTGGGCCTCTTTGGGGGCTTCTTCCATGGAATCCAGAATAGTTTAGAAAAGTGATTTTGTTCAGGCATGCTGAGCCCCTGTTGGGTGGGTGGTACAGGGATTGGTGCTCAGTGGTCCCTGGCCAACAGAGCCAGATGCAAAGGAACTGGCTGGCCGGAGACAAGCTGGGAAGAGGGACCTGAACTCCAGTTGCAGATTGGAGGGTCGTGGATGCCAGAGTGGGGTAAGGGCCCTAGCTCAGAATACACACACACACACACACACCCTGTCACATATCTGAGATGATGGCCTTGGGCCATCCAAGTGAACCCTGTTTAAAAACATTTTTCCCTTTTTTTTCGGGTCACACTTAGTGATGTTCAGGGGTTACTCCTAGCAGTGCTTGGGGGACCATATGGGATGCTGTGGATTGAACCCGGGTTGGCTGCAGGCAAGGCAAACCCCTTCCGCTGTACTGGATAGCTCCAGCCCCACTAGCCCTGTTTTATTTTTATTTTATTTTTATTTTGCTTTTTGGGTCACACCCAGCAATGCACAGGGGTTACTCCTGGCTCTGCGCTCAGGAATTACCCCTGGCGGTGCTCAGGGGACCATATGGGATACTTATGGGATACTGGGAATTGAACCCGGGTCGGCCACGTGCAGGGCAAACACCCTACCTGCTGTGCTATTACTCCAGTCCCACTAGCCCTGTTTTAGATCCTCTCCTTCACCCCACACGCTGGCTATCCGAGGTGTGGGCAGTTGTCTGGCCATGCTACCATTTATTCACTCTGTACCCACACGAGGGCCACCATAGTGATTTAATTTGTGACTGTTCATCTCTATAGAGACAGACAATGAACTTCCCCATAACATGATAGGCAGGAAGCTCTTCCCCAGAGCCCAAGCTCTTAATTAAGATTGACAGGAAATTCTGCTCCAGGACTGGCTCCGTGAACCAAACACTGGGCGTCTTGGTTCAGACATGACCTCCTCAGAGAAACATGCTAACATCTTCCCCCATCCCAGTGCTCAATCTTTCCCATCTCTCTCTCAAAATTTCCTGCTCAAACTTTCCCATCATGAAAATCATTGTCTGAAATAGCCTTGTTTTCATTAGTTCACAAGTTAACTGTGTGTTTCTTTGTATTGTCCCTCCACTGTATCTAGATCAGTGCTATGAATTTTGTTGTGTGTTTTTTTTTTTATGTAGGAGTACTGCTATTTATTCAGCCACTGATTAGCTGATTGAATTGGGCATGAACTCCACCTTAATTTTTTTTCATTTTTTTATAATTTTATTTATTGGATCACCATGAGAGCAGTTACAAAGCTTTCGGGTTTAAGTCTCGGTCATGCAATGAAACACCTGTACTTTCTGGTTTTTTTTTTTTTTTTGCTTTTTGGGTTACACCCGGCAATGCACAGGGGTTACTCCTGGCTCATGCACTCAGGAATTACTCCTGGTGGTGCTCGGGGGACCATATGGGATGCTAGGAATCGAACCCGGGTCGGCTGCGTGCAAGGCAAACGCCCTACCCGCTGTGCTATCTCTCCAGCCCAAAACACCTGTACTTTCACTAGTGCCCATTCTCCACCCCCAAAAAACCCAGTATACCCCCGTCCCACACCGTCCCCCTACCTGTGGGGCAGATGATTTCCACAACTACCTAATTTTTGGCCGTTTACTTTCTTGGTAAACTTTGCCCCAAGTTTTGGGTCTGGCCAAAGGCACAGCAGCAATTTTGGGGTATCTGGAAGTCTGAAGGCGCCATCAGGCTCTGATGCACTCGCCTCACAGGTACAGAGTGACCTGCTGGCGGCACCATACCCCCTGCTGTGTTTGGTTTTAATTTAACTTTCCTTTATTTTTGGGGCCACTCCTGGCAGTGCTCAGGGAATCGTATGTGGTGGTGGGGATTGGACCTGGATTGGCTGCTATACTATCTTTCCAGCACTCATAAATATTTTTGAATCACTGAAGCGCAAGCAGAGAGTAAGAACAGGAAATGTCAACCCCAAGATGTGTCGGCGGGGGCTGGAACAATAGTACTTGCCTTGAACGCAGTTGATACAGATTTGATCCCCAGCTGGTCCCCCCAGCTCTGCCAGGTGTGATCCCTGAGCTTAGAGCCAAGAGTAAGCCCAGAGTACCACTGGGTGTCGCCCTCAAACAAAAACAAAAATAAATACTGTATGCAAAGTGCTTTTGTGGCACAGCGGGGTAGAGCGTTTGCCTTGCAAACCCTGGCTGACCAGGGTTCGATTCCCAGCATCCCATATGATCCCCTGAGCACCGCCAGGAGTAACTCCTGAGCGCAGAGCCAGGAGCAACCCCTGTGCATTGCCGGGTGTGACCCAAAAAGCAAAAAAAAAAAAAAAACCCCATAAAAACAAAACAAAAAAACCACAAAGTGCTTTTGTGGGACCTGGCATAGAGCAAGTATTCTAGAGCAAGTATTTAATAAGATGCAACTCCCAGTTTTGGTGTGGGGACGGGATTGGGTCATATCTCAGGTGCTAGGGGCTACTCCTAGTTTTGAGGTTAGGGGTCAGGTGCTGCCGGATATCCAAATGGGGGTAACATCCAAGGCAAGCACCCTGTACTTACCCCTTTTATTATTATAGCACAGCGGGTAGGGCGTTCGCCTTACAAGCGGCCAACATGGCCGACCCGAGTTCGATTCCTCCGCCCCTCTCGGAGAGCCCGGCAAGCTACCGAGAGTATTCGATATGCCAGACACAGTAACAACAAAGTCTCCAATGGAGACGTTACTGGGCCCGCTCGAGCAAATCGATGATCAACGGGAGGGCCTTTTACTCATTTATTTGTTTGTTTTGGGGACCCTCCCCCACCCTTCCACGGTGCTCAGCTATCTTTCGGGGCCTGGGGGAAGCGGGGCACAGTTAGCAGTGCTCAGGGTTTTTTTTTTTTTCTTTTTGGGTCACACCTGGCGACGCACAGCGGTTATTACTCCTGGCTCTGCACTCAGGAATCACCCCTGGCAGTGCTCAGGGGACCCTATGGGATGCTGGGAATCAAACCAGGGTCGGCTGCGTGCAAGGCAAAGGCCCTACCCACTGTGCTATTGTTCCAGCCCCTCTGGTCCAATTGTTAAACAGTTTCCTAATCCCTCAAAGCATGAAGCAGGGGCTGCAGCAATAGCACAGCAGGTAGGGCGTTTGCCTTGCACGCAACCCTGGTTCGATTCCCAGCATCCCATAGGGTCCCCTGAGCACCGCCAGGAGTAATTCCTGGGTGCATGACCCAGGAGTAACTCCTGTGCATCGCGGGGAGTGACCCAAAAAGAAAAAAAAAAAAAGCACGGGTGGGGGTGGGGGTGGGGGTGGGGGCGGGGGTCGGGGAGAGGCGCGAGCTGAGCCGGAAGCCCGAGAGCGCCGCCAGGGACTGCAGTTCACCCTCCGGCCGCAGGGGGCGGCGCGCGAGGAGCCGGCGCGGAAGCGGCCGCCGCTCTCCCCGGAAGCGCCGCGCGCGCTCCCACAATGCACTCTGTGTCAACACGGCGCGGGGCGCGGCGCGCGGGGGGCCGGGGCGCCCAGCGACGGGCGCGCAGCTGAGGGCAGTGGGCGCGGCGGCGGCGGCGGCGGCGGCGACAGCCATGGCGGAGGCGGCGCCTGCACGGGTGAGCGGCGGCGGGTCGCGTGGGGAGGGGGCTCCCGGGGCCGCGCGCGCGACCCCCGCGACCCCCGCGACCCTCAGCCGGCGGCGCGCGGGGCCGAGGAAGTCGGCGGCGGCGGCGGCGCGGGTCCCCGCCCCCCACTTGGGCGTCCGTGGGGCGCCCCCCGCCCCCTTTCCAGGAAGAGACCCCCCCCAGCGCCACCCCCTCCCCCTTCCCCTCCCTCCACTGACGGGGACCCTCGGGAAGGGCTGGATTGACGCCCGGGCGCTCTGGAAAGTTCGTGCCGCGCCCCCCCTCTGGAGCCGGCTCCCCCCCCCCCAGCCGCGCAGGTAGCGGGATTGGGGGGGGGATGGAGTTACTGGGATTGGGGTTCTGTATTTTGGGGGCCGCCCCCTGGCGATGCTCGGGGCTGAGCCCCTGGCTCTGCGCTCCCGGGACTCGAACCCGGGTCCCCGCCGGTGGTGCCCTAGCGCTCCAGCCCCGGAGTTGTTGGGGGAGGGGGAATGGCGAACCACTCTGCTGCCCACCCCCGGTCAGGGTCACGCGTGGGAGCGGGTCCTGCCTCCAGCCTGCTGAGCGCTCGGCGCCGGCTGGCTCACGTTTATCTCTGACACAGTTAACTGGATCCTGTTTGTTGGGGGCGTGGGGGGGGCGTGCCGGGCTCTGCAGGCGGTGCAGGGGGAGCACCCCGGGGTGCACACGCTGTTATCCGCTGACTAGCCCCCTCCTCCCGCCCCACCTCACTGGTTTCCAGCACAGGCTTTTGTTTTGTTTTGTTTTTTTGCTTTTGGGGTCACACCCGGCGATGCACAGGGGGTTACTCCTGGCTCGTGCACTCAGGAATCACTCCTGGCGGTGCTTGGGGGACCCTATGGGATGCTGGGAATCGAACCTGGGTCGGCTGCGTGCAAGGCAAACGCCCTACCCGCTGTCCAGCACAGCCTTTTGCACGGTCTTCTTTGGGGGTTCAGCTGGGGCCACCCACACCTTTCCTGGGTGCTTGGGGCTGACCCCGGGCTCCCATGTGCAGGGATTGTGCCAGCATTGGGGTCCTCCTCTGGGGGGGTTGGGGTCCCCGGAGGGAGAGTCGGGGAGCAGTGCTTGCTCCTGGGGAAGCTGCAGGGGACTTTGAGGACGGACACAGAGAGAGGTCGGCGGCCCTCGCTGCCCCTGAGCCAAGTGCGGAGTCCAAGTGGGCGTGGGCCCCTGCCCGACCCCTCAGGGCTCATCCAACGGGCACACCCAGGGCAGATTGCAGGGATCCTGGGGCGCGTTTCTGTGTCCAGGCAGCCTCTGCAGGTGTGGAGTTCTGCCTTGCCTTTGGATATTATTTTTCTTTTTGGGTCACTCCTGGTGGTGCACAGGGGTTACTCCTGGCGATGCACTCAGGAGTTACTCCTGGTGGTGCTCAGGGAACCATACGGGATGCTGGGAATCGAACCCGGGTCGACCGCGTGCAAGGCAAACGCCCTACCCGCTGTGCTGTCTCTCCAGCCCCCCCCGCCTTGCCTTTGGACGGCTGGGCAGGAGGGTTCGAATTGGGGCCCGGTGGTGTCCGTCTGGCTGATCTGGGGCATCTGGTGGCCCTTCAGTTGGGAATTGATTTATGTGTATTTCTTTTGGGGATTTGGGGCTGTACCCAGCTGTGCCCAGGGCTCACTCCTGGTGGGTGCAGGGGACCATATGCCCATATTCCCTGGATGGGTAAGTGCGGCAACTTACTGCCGGCTGGTGGCTCTGCCCCTCAAGCTGGGAATTTAAAGCCAGGGGCTGCAGAATGTGGGAGTTAGCTCACTCGCCTTGCTTGTGGTCAGCCCCGGTGCAGTCCCTGGGCACAGCCAGGAGTGACCCCGGAACCCCGCCACAAGTAGCGTCCTTTTGGCCATGCAGTGCAGGAGATAGTTGCCCGTTGGAGGGCCACTCCTGGGCAGCCCTGTGTGGGCACCTTCCCGGAAATGTCGACTACTCAACGGTTAGAAATAGTAGACAACAAACTGTAGAAATCTCCAGGGGAACCTTTTATTTTTAATTTTATTTTCTTGAGACTGTTCAGGTGCATTGATTACATTCAGTAGATCAACACCAACCCCACCACCATCATTATTTTGAGATTCTTTTGTGAGTCTCTGGATCAAGGAAGGTGGCACCCTTAAATATGGCCCAGAGGCAGTTCCGGGGCGTGACAGCCAGGACCCTGAATGTTAGGGGACATGGGAAGGGACAGCCATCTCTGCGCCTTGTGGCCTGGCGTCTTCAGACCCTGTTCTCGGGTGCCTGGTTTTTTCCTTTAGAAAGCTTGTGGCCACCAGGGGCTCATCTGGAGCGGGCAGAGCTGGGACCCCGCTCCATCTGAGGTGCCCCCCGTGACACTGGCTTGCCACGGCATCCGGAGAGATCTCTGGCGAGCTGCTGTCTTCTGGGATTCACTGCTGCGTCCCCAGAGGAATCTTTATTTCACTTAGACCTCCCATGATTTTTATATGTAAAGTCCAAGATAAATGAATTCACAATAAGAAGTTACCGTAGAATAAAAAAAAAGATGGGAAAGGACAGGAGAAATAATGGATGGGGCCAGAGGGATGTGACTCAGTGACAGAGCCACGAAGCCTGGGGTTCAGTCCCTGGCACTGTCCAGCACCGCCTCTCCGTTCCCGGAACTGTTAGGTCATGTGCACTGTGGATGGGTGTGTGTGTCTGCAGTGCACGTGCGTGTGTGTGAGTCATTTTGGCAGTAGTAATGCAGGGAACGGGCAGGGCAGGTGGCAAGGAAGGTGTTCAAGGTCCCAGCTTCTTCTTTTTTTTTTTTTAATGTAGAAGTACTGCTATTTATTCAGCCACTGATTAGCTGATTGAATTGTGCATGAACTCCACAGGCCCCAGCTTCTTAAAATTGGGGTAACAACCCCACGCGGGGTCCTGTAACTTTTTAAAAGTTTGGCGATGTCTCTTTTAACCCTTTATTTACATTTTTATGTTGTTAAAGATCTTTTCTTTGGGGTGTTCGCATTTAAACTGAGGCCCAAATTAAGTGAGGGTGCAAGCATAAGGCAGTAATTTATTTCAGGCAGAGAGCTAGTGAGTGCAAAGGCCCTGTGACAGTTTCAGTGGAATTTTTTTTTAATCACCGTGAGATTTAAAAAAAAAAGACAAAGCTTTCATAATTGAGTTTCAGTCATTCAGTGATCGCGTTTCAATGGGTTTAAAATAGCAAGGGACTAAGAAGCTCTCCAAAAGGAATCCTTATTTTTTTTTTTTAACACGGATTTACCAAGTCATTCATAATACAGTTGTTTCAGACATTAACTGTTCCGACACCTGTCTTCCCACCAGTGCAACCTTCCCTCCACCAGTAACCCCAGTTTCACTCCCCACCCCACCCCAGTGTGCTCCCTAAGCAGGCACAAAATCATTTACTTCAGATATTTGTTACAACACAAAGGCAAATGGAATTACTTCGATCAGTAAAAGTCGATGAGTGATCATTGTTCTGTCTCGGGGCTGCTACTGAAGTCGTTGCCTGAGGAAGGGCTGAGCTGCTTGGTGCTCCTTGGGCCCTCTGTGTTACTGTTTTGGTTCACTGAGCTTGGTGGACTTCTGCACGACTTTCCCACCAGCGCAGCCAGGACCCTGCTGGGCTGACAGCTGTGTGAGATTGGAGACGTGGTGGCTGTGCGGTCCGGTTTGGTGTGGTGGCAGTTGCAGTGCTCGGGAAAGAGCCAGTCTTGGCTGCTTGCAGGGAGCAGCTTTGACCTTTGTACTGTGACTCTGGCCCTGAAATGATTTTATGATTTATAATCAGTAAACAGTTTGTGTATCTATTGTATAGCTGTACTCCAGGGGTTGTGTAAAACTTTCTCAATTAAAAAGTGGTAATGGGCACTGGTGGAGGGGTGGGTATTTGGTCATTGTATAATCGAAACCCAAGCACAAAAATTTGTAAGTCTACAACTGTACCTCATGGTGTCTCACTAATAAAAATTTTTAAAAAAGTGAGATGCTGTAGAGACAGTATAGAGCATAGGGCTTGCATGCTGCCGACCAGGGTTCAATCCACAGTTCCCCACCTGGTCCCCCGAGCACCTCTCGGAATGATTCCTGAGTGCCGGGCCAGGAATCAGCCCTGAGCACCAGTGGGGTAGCCTCAAAACCAAAACAAATAAAAATAAATAAAATTAAAAGGGGCCAAGAGTTGAAAAAGCTTAAGAAGCCCGCTCGAGGCTATCAAAATGAATGAGAGGATTTCATATTTATTTTTATTTTTTAAGTGTAGGAGAACTGCTATTTATTCAGCCACTGATTAAGCTGGTCGAAGTGGGCATGAATGCCACATTCCTTTTTATTTTAAATTTTTTTAAAAATTGAATATCCACGAGATAGACCGTTACAAAGCTGTTCATAATTGAGTTTCAGTCACACAATGACCCGGCACCCATCCCTCCACCAGTGCACATTTCCCTTCGTCGGCGTCCCCCATTTCCCTCCCAGCATCCCCCAATACTGCACCCCACCCTGCCTCTATGGGAGACACTTTCCTTGTTGCTCTCTCTCTCCGTTTCCTTTTGTGTATTATGGTTTGCAATACATAGAGGTGCCGAGAGGTCATGATGTCAGTGTTTTTATCGGGACAGTAAGGCTGGAGTAGCTTTTTAACTGGGTGGCAGCTTTGGAGTGTGGATGTGACTGCCGAGACTTCTGGAAGTACAGGGAGATGGGGGGAGGTAGCCCATCCTGACCCCGAGAAAGCCTGGAGATGTCAGTCACAAAACCCGCATACCCGAATTTTCAGTAGATTGTGTCTCAGTAGTAAGGTTCAACCTAGGATAGATGGAGTCAGGCCAGGGGTATGGTGGCGATTTTGGATTATGGGAGGAAGCGGCTACCAGGGGCTCTGCTTGGGCGGGCACTAGGCTCACCCCTCCCCCCCCCCCCCCCCCCCCCCCCGATTCATCTCAGTCTGTTCAACCATGCACTGGTCCAAGATTAACTGCAGCTTTTGATCTCTTTCGAGATTTCATTTCTCTGGAACGAGGCTGGTAGAAGAGCTGACGTGGGAGCACTGGAATTGGTTCTTGGAGGTGACTGCCAGTACTTCCAGGAGTATTGGGAAGTGGGGGGAGGTGGCCTGTCCCACCTCCGAGAAAGCCTGGAGATTTCAGTCATAAAACCCGCATACCCGAATTTTCAGCAGATCGTATCTTGGTGAGGTCCCTCCCGAGACGGTTGAGTCAGGCTCGGGGTGTGGCAGCAATTTTGATTTGTGGGGGCAAGTGACTGTTGGGGGCTCTGGGTGGGCAGCAGGCTGACCCACCCCCCTCCGATTTACCTAGGTGTGCTCAGCCTTGTGGGGGTCCAAGATTAACTTCGGCTTTTGATCTCGTTCGAGATTTATTTATGGGTCTCTGAGATAAGGCTGATCAGCGAGTTTGTATAGCTGAGCCGGAGGTGGTTTGTGGGCGTAGCTCCCACTTACCTAACTTTTGGCCATTTAATCTCGTGGTAAACTTGGTCCCAAGTTGTTGGGGTCCGGCCAGAGGCACAGCGGCAGTTGTGGGGGTATCAGGAAGCCTGAAGGCACCATCAGGCTGCTGATGTATTTGCCCCGCTGGGACAGGTTGACGTGCTGATGCCACCACCCCCCTCATTTTTATTTAGCTTTAGGTTAGTTTTGGGCCATACCCAGGGATGTTCACGGACTATTCCTAATTCTTTTTTTTTTTTTTGCTTTTTGGGTCACACCCGGCGATGCACAGGGGGGTTACTCCTGGCTCTGCATTTAGGAATTACTCCCGGCGGTGCTCAGGGGACCATATGGGATGCTGGGACTCGAACCTGAGTTGGCCTCTTGCAAGGCAAACGCCCGACCCGCTGTGCTATCACTCCAGCCCCACTACTCCTAACTCTTAAGCTCAGAGGTGACCCCTGATGCTGCTTGGGGACCATGTATGGTGCAGGGACCAAATTGGGGTCCATTGCAAGCAAGGCAAAACCTTTAACCCTTGTCCTGAGATTTCAAAATTTTATTTATTTGTGTGTTTTGGAACACATCCACTTATGCTCAGGGCTTAGACCTGGCTCTGTGCTCAGGAGTCACTCCCGGACGGGCTTGGGGGACCCTGTGGGATGACGGGGATTGAACCTAGGTTGGCTGCATGCAGGGTAGCTCCCTAGCTACTTAGTATCTGTGGCTCAAATTTCAGAAATTTAGATTGTCATGCCTGAAGTAGGACATTGAAATTCCAGAAGGAATACCCCCCCCACACACACACCCACACACACATTCACATAAAAACACAAAAACTACAGGAGTTGATTTTTTGGGAGGGAGATCACATGTGCTTGCACACACACGCACACACACAAACACACACAAGCATGCGCACACCTGGTAGTGCTCAGGGCTCGCTGCTGACAGTGTACTCAGTGATTACTCCTGGCGGGGAACCAGGGATTGAACCCATGCTGGGGCTGCGTTTAAGGCAAGCGCCCTACCTACTGTATTACATCTCTGGCCCCCAATAAACTAGTCTTGTTCAGAAAACTGTAAGGAGAGGGGCCGAGGGCAATAACGCAACGGGTAAGGCACTTGCCTTGCACACGGCTGACCCAGGTTCAATCCCCTACACCCTATGTGGTGTATTTCTGGAGCAATTTCTGAGTGCAGAGCCAGGAGTAAGCCCTGAGCACTGCCAGGTGTTGCCCCAAAATTGTAAAAGAGGGGGAAAAAAAGGAGAAGAGGAAGAAAAGAAAAACGTGAGGAGAGTGTGAGGGAAAGGGAGCGTGTGTGCGCGTCTGCTGCAGCTCCCCTTTTTCTTGGCCACCTCGCCGAGCGTGCAGGCTCCACGTTGGAGCCCTCGGACAGTGGGGAGGGCCGACCCAGGCTCCAGCCCCAGCTCGAGCCCGCTGGAAGCGATCCCTGAGCGCAGAGCCAGAAGTAAGCCCTGAGCACTGCTGGGTGTGGCCCCAAAGCCAAACAAGTGGCGCCTGCCTAGAAGCCGGTTCCTCGTGGCTCGAGGATTCTGTTGCAGGTCACTTGGCTTCTTGGATGCGAGGGAGTCAGAGGAAGCAGGCGTCTCCACTGAGACTTGTTCTTTTTTGAGGGCGGGGAGCCACCCAGCTGTGCTCCGGGCTTACTCCTGGCTCTGCGCTCAGGGATCACTCCTGCTGGGCTCAGGGGACCCTGTGGGGTGCCGGGGGTTGAACTTCGATCAGCCACGTGCAGGACAAACATCCTACCTACTGCATTACCACTCTGGCCCAGTGACTTGCTGGTTTCTGAAACGCTCTGTATGCCAGAGGGGTAGTACGGTGGAGAGGGCACTTGCCTGGCAAGCAGCCAACCTGGGTTCCATCCCCGGCAACCCGTATCGTTCCCCCCGAGAGCTTCTAGGAGGGGTTCCCGAGTGCAGGGCCAGGAGTCAGCCCTGAGCACTGCCACGCATGGCACAAAAAAAACAAGGGGGCAGGTGCAACAGCACAGCGGGGAGGGCGTTGGCTTTGCACACGACTGACTGGGTTCAATCGTCGGCATTCCATATGATCCCCTAAGCACCGCAGGGGCTAATTCCTGAGTGCAGAGCCAGGAATAACCCCTGAGCATCGCTGGGTAGCATTGTACCATTGTCCTACTGTTGTTCATCTATTTGCTCGAGCAGGCCCAGTAACGTCTCCATTGTGACACTTGTTACTGTGTTTGGCATACGGAATACGTCACGGGTGGCTTGCCAGGCTCTGCCGTGTGGGCGAGATAACTCTTGGTAACTTGCCGGGCTCTCCGAGAGGGGTGGAAGAATCAAATCTGGCTCGGCCGGGCCGGCTGCACACGAGGCAGATGCCCTACCCGCTGTGCTATTGATCCAGCATTGCTGGGTATGGCCAAAAAAAAAAAAAAACACGGGGGTCGGGGGGCACGGGATTCGAGACAGTACGTGTGTGCTGCTGAGATGGGGCTGCCGCAGGGTTCCTGGGGTTGGAACCTCAAGTCCGGCGCTTTCCCGACTTGCGCGGACGGGCCGTGATGATGAGAGGTGTTAGGGAAGTGTGCGAGCACGGTTCGCTGTTGGTGTCTCCGCGCCATCCCCACCCCAGCCCTAGTGCGCGAGGATGAGGGGAGGAGGGACGCAGTCTCGGGGGTGTGGTTGCAGGAGGGCTGCGAGCCACAGGGCCACGGCATGGGCGTTTGGGGGCACCTGGCAGGGGCGGTGGAGCAGCCAGTGGGAGTGGCGTTTGGGCGGGGGGGGCCCGCACACGGTGAGCCTGGGAGCCGGCCAGAGCGGTTGCAGCTCGGTTGGAAGTAAAAAGCGTTCCAGGAAGTACTCCTCTATCCTAACAGCTTATTGCTGGCTTGTGGCGTTTTGCATAATTTGTTCTTTTTGTTTCCCAGTATTATTCTGACGTATGGATGTGTCTATAAGGCAGCGTCACAGTGCAAAAGCCCAAGCCTTTGAAACGAAATTCACCCCCACTGGGGCGTGGGGGGCCTGGCTGGCCTCCGAAGGCCGGTTTCCAGGCTGGGCCCTGCGGCGGGGCCCTGCTCTGAGCTCTGCTTCCCGCCCCTCACCGCCCCGTGGCCTCTGGTTCTTCAGCACAGGAGGAAGCGCCGCGCCACACCCCTGCCTTCGTCCTCGCTGTCCCCACCGGCCACGGAGAAGAGCCCCTATTTCCAGACCTCCGAGATCTCGCTCTGGACCGTGGTGGCCGCCGTCCAGGCCGTGGAGAAGAAGGTGGAGGCCCAGGCGGCCCGGCTGCAGAGGCTGGAGGGCCGCGCGGGCAGCGCCGAGAAGAAGCTGGCCGACTGCGAGAAGACGGCGGCCGAGCTGGGCCAGCAGCTGGAGGGCAAGTGGGCCGTGCTGGGCACGTTGCTGCAGGAGTACGGGCTGCTGCAGCGGCGCCTGGAGAACATGGAGAACCTGCTGCGGAACCGCAACTTCTGGGTCCTGCGGCTGCCGCCGGGCAGCAAGGCCGAGACCCCCAAGGTAGCGTCCCTGGGGAGTCGGCGCCGTGCGGCTCCTCGAACCCGGCCTCTTCCTGGGCTCGGCTGCTGCTTTGTCTTCGCGGCTGACGCGCGCTCCCTGTGCTGTCTGTGCTTGCAGGCGTCCCGGTCTCTGGACAACGACGGCCTGTGCTTCTCCGAGCAGGAGTGGGAGAACCTGGAGGACTGGCAGAAGGAGCTTTACAGAAACGTGATGAAGAGCAACTACGAGACGCTGGTGTCCCTGAGTAAGTGGCGGTGCTCCCGGGTCGCACGCTCCCTGGGATTCCGGCCGACTCTGGGTGGGTCCCCGTTGGCTGGTGTCCCTTTGAGAAGTGGCGTCTCCAGGGCCTCCACTGGGACCCCTGGGAAGAGTGTCACCGTGTGGTCTGCATTTCTTCTCTGCAGTTTCACGGTCACTTCTTTTTTTGTGTTTGTTTTGGGGCCACACCGGGTGGTTCTCGGGAGTCACTCCTGGCTCTGTGCTCGGGGATCACTCCCAGCATTACCTGTGGGACCAGATGTGGTGCTGGGGGTTGAGCCTGGGTCGGCGCGTCCAAGGCCTTGCTCCTGTATTACGCCTCAGCCCCAGGAGTCAGTTCTCGGTGCTGTCTCGTGTGTAGGTGTCATCAGATGCAATGTTGAGTTGGGTGACTCACGCTGTTGTTTGTATTCTGACTGTTGACGCGGATGCTTGTTTCTTGGCATGCATGAGGCTGCCAGCAGCGGCTCACCAGGTTTTCTCGACATTTACCCTGTGGTGAGGCCCAGTCCTTGTGATGTCACTTCCTGTTCTGTGGCTGTTAGCAGCGCTGTGTAGGAGACTTCTGTGAGATACTGGCTTTTACCTTCAAAACACATGCTGTACAGAAGACAGCCTTTCAAAGCCTGGATCCATTTGTCAGGAATGACATTCAGTGTTGATTGCGGGGCTTGCATGTGTGAGGCTCTGGGTTTGACCTCCAACCATCTAAATAAGTAAACTAGTAATGAATAGTAAAGATTGAGAAATAGGACCAGGGAGATGGTTCACCGGGAGGCTAGAGGCTGTGGAAGAACGCACAACGGGTAGGGCGTTTGCCTTGCGCTCAGCCAACTGGAAATCAGTTCCTGGCATCCCATATGGTCCCCTGAGCACTGCCAAGAGCAGTTCCTGAGCATGGGTATGACTCCGAAACAAAAAACAACAGTTGTGAAAAGGGGGTGCCTGGGGTTCTGTCCCTACACCTCTGGTCGCCTGAGCAGTGCCCGTCAGTCCAGACACACACCCCCCAGTGTAAATCAAAGTAATAAAGCCTGTGACTCCTGAAGAGGCATTGGACATCAGCTAGCAGATGCGTCGTTCCAGTGGATCTGGTTTCTGACTGTCCCAAACCACCTGGAGAAAGTGACAGGAATCGGGGCTGCAGTGGGTTCAAGCACATCGGGTCGGGCTCTCGCTTGCCTGCGACCCACCCGGCTTCCGTCCTCGGCATTCCCTGTGGTCCCCTGAGCATCATCACGAGTGGTTCCTGAATGCAGGAGGAACCCCAGAGCATTGCTGGGTGCAGCCTAAGAAACAGAAAAGGGAGGGGGGAGGGAGGAAGTGTCCAAAGCAGCAGCCCTGCGCCTCTGAGTCTGAGCCTGGTCCCCCTGCAGGGGGCGGCTCGAGCCTTTACTGCCTGCGCTCACTCTGTGCGTTTCCCCCAGAGGTCCTGGGCCAGTCGGACGGAGAGGCGGAGTTGGAGACAGAGATGCTGGGTACCTTGGAGGAGGACGATCCTGCTGGTGTCCACCCAGGTGAGCGGCTCCAGAATATTCCACCCCTATCCCTCCCCACACCCTCACTCCCTGGGGCCCTTGGGAGCTTGAAACAGTCTCTGATTCGAGTCCCCTCGCCTGCATCTCGTTGTCCCGGGCGTCCTATGACACCTGTGCATTTGTTGAGTCTCTGGAGTCCTTCAGCCCCGTGAGGAGGCGCCCCGTGCAATGGGCTGACCCAGCTGGGGAAGCGGGCTGGGAGAGTGGCAGGTACCACGGGCTTTGTAAGCGTGATGACTTGGGGGTGTTAGAACAGAGGATCAGAGACGAACGCTTGCAATTTTAAAATGTAGAGTTTAGTTTTTATTTTTTTAATTTAAAAAAATTTTTTTTTTGCTTTTTGGGTCACACCCGGCGATGTTCAGGGGTTACTCCTGGCTCATGCACTCAGGAATTGCTCCTGGCGGTGCTCAGGGGACCATATGGGGTGCTGGGAATCGAACCTGTGTCGACCATGTTGGTTGTGCGCAAGGCAAACGCCCTACCCGATGTGCTATTGCTCCAGCCCCGAGTTTCGTTTTTAAAAGAGTCACGTTGCCCATTTCCCGCTCTCAAACCAGCATGTTGTTGTTGGGGTCCTTTTCTCAGGGGTTGACTTCGTGGACAGAGTTGGAAGAGTTGCAGTATTACCACCTCTCACGTAGCCCTGTCATAAGAATGCCGGGGCTGGAGAGATGGTACAGTGGGGAGGGTGCTTGTCTCGCACACAGCTGACCCGGGTTCGAGCTCCGAGCACCACCAGGGGTGATTCCTCAGTGCAGAGCCAGGAGTAACGCCTGAGCGCTGCTGGGTGGGGCCCAGAACCAAAACAAAAAAGAACAGGACTTGAGGTTTCCAGTACACGCCTTTCCGGAGACTCGGTCTAGTTTCCGTTCTGGGAGCCGCCGTCTCCTCCCCTCCGGACCGCCTGGTTCCCTCGGGCTTCCCGGAACTCGCGCGTTTGATTGGCTCCGAAGCCGCGGCAGGGGGTGGGAAGTGATGCCTGTGCCCCTCTTCTTCCGGCAGCGGAGGGCGTGATGATCAAGCAGGAGCTGCAGTACCTGCAGGAAGGCGCCGGGGAGCTGCCCGCGGAGTTCTCCGGCGTGGCCGAGGAGCAGGTGTTCCTGAGCCCGGAGCAGGCCGAGCTGTGGGACCGGGCGGCCGACGCTGTGCTCTCGGAGGCGGGTTCCGGGGACGCCGGCCTCGGCCTCGAGGAGCCCGGCGAGGGCAGCACGGACCCCGGCCAGGGCAGGACCCTGGGCCCCCCGCCGCCGCCGAAGGGCCAGGAGCCGCGGAGGGGCCCCTCCCGCCCCTACACCTGTGCCGAGTGCGACGCCGGCTTCCGCTCCAAGCAGCAGCTGGCCACGCACCTGCGGACCCACGCGGGCTGGGAGGTGGACGCGGCCCCGCAGCCCCCCGAGAGCCTGCAGCCCCCCGAGAGCCTGCGGCCCCGGCCGCGGCTCAAGCCCCAGGCCAAGAGGGCCAAGCTGCAGTGCGCCGTCTGCCAGCGGGGCTTCAGCTGCAAGGTGAGCCTGGCCGCCCACCAGCGCTGCCACGCCCAGGAGGGGCCCAGCGCCCCCCGCATCCAGGAGCGCTTCTCCCCCAACAGCCTGGTGGCCCTGCCCGGCCACATCCCCTGGCGGAAGAGCCGGAGTTCCCTCATCTGTGGCTACTGTGGCAAGAGCTTCAGCCACCCGTCGGACCTGGTGCGGCACCAGCGCATCCACACGGGCGAGCGGCCGTACCGCTGCCCCGAGTGCGAGAAGAGCTTCGTGCAGAAGCAGCACCTGCTGCAGCACCAGAAGATCCACCAGCGGGAGCGCGGCAGGGCGCCCCCCGAGCCCGCGCGGGCCAACGGCCTGCTCTAAGGGCGCCAGCCCCTCACCCTGGGGTGGGGGCGGAGGGGCTGGCGTTGATCCCCCCGCAGACTCCGCAGAGCCGCTGCCCCCTGCCTGCCCGACCACGCACTGGGCCAGGCAGCCGGGACCAGCCTCTCCCCGGCCCTGCCCCCGCTTTTCACACTTCCCGGGGGCCGAGGCAGGCCGGGGTGGGGGCCGGGAAGCACCTCCCCCCCCCCCCCCCGTTCGTTGTCTCTGTTCGTAATTAGTAGGAGTAATTTAAGTGGACTGCTGGCCCCGCTCCGAAGAACCATTTTTGGAATTAGCTTCTAGAAGAGAAAGTGGATCCGCGCCCCGTTTCTTGAATTTGCTGTCGCAGATGTTCCTAGCACGGGACCAGGCCTGCCCTCTGGGAGGGCATCGTTTCTGGGGCTCTTTCCGCCCGCTTACGCCGAGGCTGCAGACCAGGGGTCTGGGCTGGCTCCCTCAGGTGGGGGCCCCACAGGGGGCTAACAGAATCAAAAGGATGGAGAGGAAGGCGGGGGAGCAGCTGGGCGACTCGGTGCTCAGGGTGTCCAGCGCTCCCACGAGTCCTTCCTAGCACGCCGCTGGGCTCTAGCGGCCGCTCCGATGACCACTTCCCTCATCGGGGGTTGCCCGTTCCCGAGACACTTGTCTCAGGGGTGCTAACCCCTTGGGGAGGTAGGTGGGAATGGGCTCCTGGACCATGGGTGATGTCCCCTCTGATCATTTGCAGTTGCCTAGAATAAAACCCGCTACTTGCAAAAAACGTGTTCAGTTGGGTGTTTGTGTCTGTTGATCGAGGACACAGCCGTGCTCCCCAGAGGGACGCAGCAGGTGAGGGAGGGGACTGGCCACGCACGTGGCAGATGGGGGTTGATCCCCGGCACCCCATATGATCCCCTGAGCACTAGGTGAGCCCCCAAACCCCAAAAAAGTCCAGGTTGGGGTCCTGGTTCCTCAGAAGTTTAAGTTTTTTTTTTTTGAAACGGGGAATGTGTTGAGCAACCGGTTGTGTATTACTGACTCTCCGGGACTCCCAGGAACCCTGCACCCCGTCAGCCAGGTCCCACATGCCCTCTGAGGTGGAAACCACTCACCCCACTTTACACCTGAGATGTGCAGAGGCCCCAGGCCGCCTAGTCTCAGCCCACGCGCTTGGCCTCCGGGGCCGTTATATGCTTGACAGCTCCAGGCCGAGGCTGAGTGTGTCAGCAGCGCTGGCCCGCAGACTGCCCGTGGGCACGTGCTCTTGCGTGCTTGCTCTGAAACAAATCCTTTTTATTGAAAGATTCCTGGAGAAATGGGAGAGAAAGAGGAAAACATGTTCAAGTGAGAACAGGGGCTTCTCCAGAGGAGAAAAGGCCCCAGGGGCCCTGTGAGCTGGGGACCGTCTGTTGGCCCCAGACCGTCTGCTGAGAGGGAAACTGGAACTTCCATCTCGGTCCGGGATTAGTGCCGGCGAGAGACATCACACACTGATACTTGGCACCAAAATGCCAAGTCCTGGTGACTGTCCAGCCTTCCTCGTCCACAGCCATATCCCCGTGCCCAGTGGGCCCCTACCTGTCCGCATCTCCCGCCCACCCAAGGCTGCTTCTCCCAGCCTGGGACCCCACCTCCTCAGCGCCTTGCTCACCCTGGAGTGCCTGCCGTTATCCCCCACGGCTCAGCGTCTGAGCCCCTCATGCTCAGATCGCCCCTTCATTTCTGCACGCAAGAGGGATGCTGTGTCCCCATTTTCCAGGTAGCTTCTTTTTCCTTCCATTGTTGGGGCCACGCCCAGCGGTGCTCAGGGCTTACTCTTGGGATCACTCCTGGTGGGGCCTGGGGGTCCATCTGGGGCGCTGGGGATGGAACACGAGCCCGCCTCCTGCAAGGTAAGCAGCCCACCACTGTTCCATCTCTCCAGCCCCAGGTGCCATTTCAAAGTGCCAGCGTGTAGCTAGAGTTGACCGGGCAACACCCATTTCTCTGTGCTGCCCACTGCCCAGCCCTTCCGTGGGTCCGCACACGGCCACCCTGTGTCCAGAGTGTCCACTCCCAGACTTTTGTGTGTAGGGTCTGCACAGCAGTGCTGTGACCCCTGATCCTGCCCTTGCGCCCTTAAAATGGGAGACTGAACTTGAGAGAGTATTCTCGTGAGATGGGAGCACTTGGGGGGGTCTAGATAGATTTTGAGTAGGACTTCGGGAAGGGAAGGGGGACAGCCTGAGTGCAGCGGGCGGCCAGGGGCCCTGCGGGAGGCAGCTCTGTCTGTCTCTGTGTGTGTCTGTGTCTGTCCCTAATGAAAAAATTCTCCCAGGGCCCTGTGTCCTCGCCTCCACCACGTAGCGGTCCCCGGGGGGCCATGGGAGCGTTCGGGCGGAAGCGCGCACATCCCTCCTCGCTGGCGTCCGAGGCCAACGTCCGGGGCTGGGGTCCACGCGGCGCGGCGTTAGCGGGCGGGAGCGGGGCGGGGCCAGGGCGGTGGTGGGCGGGGCCCGGAGGCGGGAGGGGCGGGGCCCGGGGCGGTGGTGGGCGGGGCCGGAGGCGGGAGGGGCGGGGCCGGGCGGTGGTGGGCGGGGCGGGGCCCGGAGGCGGGGCGGGGCCGAGGCGGGGCGGCGGCCGTGCGCTCGGCGGGCGGCAGGGGGCGCTGCGCGCGGGTCCCAGGCCCGGCGGGGCACGTGGCTCGGACGCAGCTCGCGGCCGCCCCGCACCGCTCCGAGGCCGGCGGCTCCGGCCCGCGCCGCCCGGTTCCGGCCCCGCTCCGGCCCCGCTCCGGCCCGCGCCGCCCCGCGCCGCCCCGCCCCGCCGCGCCGCCGCCAGCCGCCGAGGGAGCGCCGCGGGCAGCCATGGGCGACGCGGCGGCCGCCCCGGTAAGCGCCCGAGCGGGCCGGGATGCCCCGGGCGGCGGGCCCGGGCCCGTGTCAGCGCCCGCCGGGCCGGGAGCCCGAGCCTGGGCGCGGGGCCCCGCCGAGGGCCCGGGAGGGGCGCGGGGACGGGGCTTGGGCGTCCCGGGGGCGGGGGCGGCGGGGCGCGGGGCCGGGCCGGTTCTGAGCTGGAGCCCTCGGGAGGCGGCGGGGCGGGGGCGGGGAGGGGGTCCCGGGGGCCCGTCGGGTCGGGGCCCCTGCCCGTCCCGAGGAGCCAGGTTCTCCAAGGCGAGGCGGACCCCTGGGAAACGGCCCCGGAGCCGGTGGGGGTCCCGGGGTGCAGCGTGTGCGCCCCCCGCCGCCGTCTGCGCCCTCATCCCTGCCCCGCCCGCCCCCGGACACCCCCCGTTTGCCCGTTGGATCATTGCATTCAATTTTTCTTTATCTTAAATTCTGATTTTATTTCTCCTGGATCACCGTGAGGTGCAGTTGCAGACTTACAAACTTACGTCCCGGTCACACGCTGATCTGATCGGCGGGTGCCCATCCCTCCCCCAGAGCCCTGTTGGGTCACTGTTAATGACGACTTGGTCCTGCAGAGCTGGCCATCGGGCGCTTGCTTTGTCCGCTGTCGCCCCCAGTTCAGTTCCCGGCACCCCTGGTGGTCTCCCGAGCCCCCTCCGGGAGCGACCCCTGAGCACAGAGCCAGGAGTGAGTCCGGAGCACTGCCTGGTGTGGCCCAAGTCTTTCCCCACTCCCGGGGAGAAAAAAATACAAAGCATCTTTCTTTCAAAAAGGAGAAATAATTTGGGGCCCGAGCGATAGCACAGCAGGGAGGGCATTTGCCTTGCATACGGCCGGCCCGGGTTCGATCCCCAGCATCCCATAAGGTCCCCGAACACCGCCGGGAGTAATTCCTGAGTGCAGAGCCAGGAGCAACTCCTGAGCATCGTGTGGCCCAAAAAGCAAAAAAAAAAAAAATTTTTTTTCTCTTCTTAAAAACATTAGGCGCTGGGCTGGAGAGAGAGCACAGCGGGGAGGGCGTTTGCCTCGCACACGGCCAACCCAGGTTTGATTCCCAGCATCCCATATGATCCCCTGAGCACCGCCAGGAGTAACTCCTGAGTGCAGAGCCAGGAGTAACTCCTGTACATCTCCGGCTGTGACCCAAAAAGCAAAAAAAAAAAAAAAAAAAAATTATTTTTTTTTCCTCTTAAAAACATTCGGCACTGTGCCTTCCCTCACGGTAAGGTTTCGAGAATCCCCTTTGCGAAATACTGTGAGACAGCCAAACTGTATCTTCATGTGATAGCATTTGTTTGTATAGCTGTGTACGTCTGTGCCAAACTCGAAGGACTATGTACCAAAGGTGGTCTACTGTATATAAAATGTATAATTTGATTACATAAAAATTACACCTTTAAAAAAAAAAGAACCCCCTTTGCTGGGGCACACCTGTCCCCAACCCCTACAAACTCCTCTCCAGCCTGACTCCGGGCGGCGCCAGCCTGGGTCATTCCTTACTAGGTCTGTGCGCCTCACCTGTGGGGCCTCCTTCGGCCTTTGTCCTCGTGACTGTCCGCCCTGCCCGGCTGAGGGCGGCCACCTTTCCTCACGCTCCGCAGGATTCCCTGGTGCACCTCTTACCTTCATTTCTTTCTCTGCGCGGGTTAGAATGACCTGATTCTTTTTTTGGGGGGGAGGGAGGGCTTCACACCTGGCGATGCTCAGGGGTCACTCCTAGCTCTGCAGTCAGGAATCCCTCCTAGCAGGGGACGTGCAAGGGAAATGTCCTACCCGCCGGACTGTCGCTCCGGCCCAGAATGATGTCATTCCTTCGGGACCCGTTGTACCTTTACTTCGAGTGGGGCCCAGTAGCAGTTGATGAGTGGAGGTTTGGTTTTTCATTTTCCCCGAATTTGGGGGCCATACCTGCCGATGCTCAGGAATCACTCCTGGCTCTGGGTTCAGGAGTTCCTCCTGGCGGTGCTCCGGGGACCACATGGGGTGCCGGAGATCGAACCCGGGTCGGCTGTGTGCAAAGCCAGTGCCCTCCCCGCTGTGTTTTTGCTCTGGCCCCGATGAGCGAGGGTGTCTCATCATCGTTATTCCTTCAGTGTTTCAGAGCCCCTGGTTCGAGTGAGTCAGTACCGTGGGCCCCCATCGACTCGCTTTTTTTTTTTTATGCTTTTTGGGTCACACCCAGCAATGCACAGGGGCTACTCCTGGCTCATGCACTCAGGAATTACTCCTGGCTGTGCTTGGAGGACCCTTTGGGATGCTGGGAATTGAACCCGGGTCGGGCCGCGTGCAAGGCAAATTCCCTACCTGCTGTGTTATCACTCCAGCCCCCCACCAACTAACTCCCTTGCGGCGTGCAATCACGGTGGGCCTGGCAGGAGGGACCCTTCCAACCCGGGCATCTGTCCAAGGGCCTTTCAGCCGGAAGTCAGGCTGGCAGAGGTGTGGGAAGGGGAGGTAGCCCCCCGAGTCGGGTTCTAGTCCAGACCCCCTGCAGTGAGTGCGCCCATGGCACGTGTGGTAGGAGGGTTACAGTGTCAGGGTGTGGGCAGGTGGGGACAAAGCCCAGCACCCAGACTTGAAACTGTGGCCACAGGCCGGTGTGGGCGTGCGTGTGGCCTGGGTGCGGCCCTCCTGGACCTGCTGACCTGGCGTGGAGCCTGCAGTGTCTGCAGAATGGAGGGGGAGAGTGTGGACTTGGGTCTGGAGACACCAGGAAGCGCTTCCTGGGGGTCCCTGGGGGTGGCCCTGCTGGGGTGGTTGGGAATGTCCCTTAGGCCAGTCGAGCCAGCCTGGGTTGGCCCTGGAGCGCTCTGCAAGGCGGGTCCCGGGGCCATCTACCTACCCCCTAGCACCTCTTTCTGGGGTTCTGGAGACAGCTGGGAGCAGCCAGGGGGAGGAGAGGGGAGCAGAGTGGGGAGCTGGGACACAGCAGGCAGCTTAGGGGGCGGGGGGCACACGCGACAGGCCTTGGCTCTCAGAGGGACAGAGAGGGGCCCTCGGGCAGCTGCCTGTTCGGAGACTGGGGACACCACTTCATGGCCCCTTGTCCATCCCCTTCCCTCTGGGGCTTCTTGGTCCTGCCCGGGGCTCCTGCCTTGGGTCCTGGATTCCTCCCTGTGGCCGCTGGGTGCGGGGAGAATATAGTGAGACCCCGTCACCGCCGCCTGTGGCCGCAGGGGCCACTTGGATGCGGCATGCTGAGGGCCTCTTATACCCCTGGGGAAACTTTTTCTCCGGCCCCTCCGACCCCTGAGAAGAGCTTGTATCTCTGCTCCACCGAGATCACCCTCTGGACCGTGGTGGCCGCCGTCCAGGCCGTGGAGAAGAAGGTGGACAGCTGCCTGGCCCGGCTGCACCGGCTGGAGGGCCGCACTGGGATGGCCGAGAAGAAGCTGGCCGACTGCGAGAAGACGGCGGCCGAGTTCGGCCAGCAGCTGGAGGGCAAGTGGGCCGTGCTGGGCACCTTGCTGCAGGAGTACGGGCTGCTGCAGCGGCGCCTGGAGAACATGGAGAACCTGCTGAGGAACAGAAACTTCTGGATCCTGCGGCTGCCGCCCGGCAGCAAGGGCGAGACCCCCAAGGTAAGCCAGGAGGGCTGCCAGGGGGAGGCGCCGAGGGCCCTGCCTCGCGGTGAGTGGGTGAGCGCGTGACCCTGTGGTTGCAGGTGCCCGTGACCTTTGATGACGTGGCCGTGTATTTCTCCGAGCAGGAGTGGGGCCAGCTGGACGCTTGGCAGAAGGAGCTGTACAAGCGTGTGATGCGGGGCAACTTCGAGACGCTGGTGTCGCTGGGTGAGGCCGCGGGCGGGGCGGGGCGGGGCGGCGCTGCCTTGGCCCCGTGGGTGCGAGTGGCGGGCCCGGCCCTCACCACGCGCCCCTCAACCGTCCCACACACAGATTACGCCGTCTCCAAGCCCGACCTCCTCGCGCGCCTGGAGAGGGGAGAGGACCCTTGTCCCCCCGGCCCGTGGGGCCCCAAGGAAGGGAGTGGGGGAGAGGCTGCGGGCCCCAGGCGGGAAGCCGCAGGTGGTGAGTCGGGGTGCGGCCGCGAGCGTGGACGCGGGGGGCCGAGGTGGGTACCGGGCATCAGCCTCGGTGCTGTCTGCTGAGCGGTGCCAGGTCAGGTCAGGTGGTGCTGGCGTCACACTGTCTCGGGGCTTGCTCCTGGCTCAGTGCTCGGAGATCTCTCCTGGGGGTGCTCGGGGCTTGCTCCTGGCTCAGTGCTCAGAGATCTCTCCTGGGGGTCCTCGGGGCTTGCTCCTGGCTCTGTGCTCGGGGATCCCTCCTGGGGGTGCTCAGGGCTTGCTCCTGGCTCGGTGCTCGGAGATCTCAAGGGCGTGCTTGGGGCTTGCTCCTTTCTCTGTGCTCAGGATCCCTCCAGGGAGTGCTTGGGGCTTGCTCCCGGCTCTGTGCTCAGGGATCCCTCCTGGGGGTGCTCAGGGCTTGCTCCCGGCTCTGTGCTCGGGGATCCCTCCTGGGGGTGCTCAGGGCTTGCTCCCGGCTCGGTGCTCAGGGATCCCTCCTGGGGGTGCTCAGGGCTTGCTCCCGGCTCTGTGCTCGGGGATCCCTCCTGGGGGTGCTCAGGGCTTGCTCCTGGCTCGGTGCTCGGAAATCTCAAGGGTGTGCTCGGGGCTTGCTCCTTTCTCTGTGCTCAGGATCCCTCCAGGGGGTGCTTGGGGCTTGCTCCCGGCTCTGTGCTCAGGGGTCCCTCCAGGGGGTGCTCAGGGTTTGCTTCTGGCTCTGTGCTCAGGGGTCCCTCCTGGTGGTATGGGGTGGGTGCCTTAATCCTGTACTCTTTCCAGCCCCTGTTTTTAAAAGTGTTTTTACATTTCTTTCTTTGAGGAGGTCACACCTGGTGGTGCTCAGGGCTCACCCTGACTCTACCCTTCATGTTCACTCCTGGTGGGCTCGGGGGACCATTTGGGGTGCTGGGGATTGGACCTGGGTCTGCCATGTGCAAGGCAAGTACCTTCGCCGCTGGACTATCTTTCCGGCCCCTTTGTTAATAAATTAAAAAAAAATCAGTGAAAATAGTTAAGTGAGCTTATGAATGCCCTGCTGCTCCCGCCGGACCCACCGGGCTGGCTTTACCCACCCAGCCCCGCCACCCCTCTCCGTGGATGTGGCCAAATCCTGTCGTGGCTGCCGTGTCTTGATGCTAAGAAACGAGGCCGCCGCGCCCTGCGTTTGGCTTAAGACTAAAAAAGCCTCTGAAAGGGCCCCCGGCCACTCTACGGGACTTGTTCGCATCCCTCCGTTTGGCAGGTGCCACGCACCGCTGAGCGACCCTGCACCCGTCACCTCAGTTGGATTTGTGGGCTCCCGTGCCTGCTCCCCCTCCTGTCGGGGGAATCCGTGGGGGTGGGTCATAGGAAACCAGACCCCTGAGGCCGGAGCAAGTATGGGGGTGGGGGGCACTTTTCTTCCGCACGGCACCCCCATGGGCCCCCATCCTCCGAGCCCGCCAGGCGTGATCCCCCTCAGCACCGCTGGGCATGAATGACCCCAAAACCAAAACCAGAAGAATGAATGGGCAAAAAAAAGAAAATTGATCTCTGTGGCTTTCCTCCTGACCCTATATATATATATATATATTTTTTTTTTTTTGAGTCACACCCGGCGATGCACAGCAGGGGTTCCTCCTGGCTCATGCACTCAGGAATCACTCCTGGCGGTGCTCAGGGGACCATATGGGATGCTGGAAATCGAACCCGGGTCGGCCGCATGCAAGGCAAACGCCCTCCCTGCTGTGCTGTCGCTCCAGCCCCCCCCATTTTTCTTTTTTTGAATTTAAGAGTTTTATTTGGGAGGTGTGGCTGGCACTTGGGGATGCTCAGGGCTTCCTCCTGGCTCTACACTCGGGGGTCAATCCTGGCGGGGCTCAGGGGACCATACGGTTGCCGGGGGTTGAACTGGGGTCAGTCTTAGGCGAGGCGAGTGCCTTCCTCCCATCCTACTGCTCTGGCCCCATACGTGGGCTTTTTTTTTTTTGGGGGGGGGGTGGGAGGCCACAAAGCCCTGGCGATGCTCGGGCCTTACTCCTGGCTCTGCACTCGGGAATCACTCCTGGTGAGGTTCAGGGTGACCAGAACGAATGCCAGGAATTGAACCCGGGTTGGCTGCAGGCAAGGCCTGGGGCCCTCCCCGGTGGTCTCTCTGCACCCCCCCATCCTCCCGCCTTGTTAACTTTCATCGAGGCGGTTTGCTAAATCCCTTTGAGTGCGAACAGTGTTGCGGGCGGAGCTTCAGGGATTTCTGCGTCATGTGATGGCATCCGAGCGCAGGCCGCTCCCCTCCCTGCTTTCCCGTGTGGGTCGCCTTCTGTGGCGCCGCTTTGCCTGATGACTCGGGCTCAAAGTCCCGGGACTCTGTTGACTCGACGTGCTCACAGCAGGGCCTGCGCTGTTAGGTCTCGTCGTCGAGTATGTCACCTGTGGTTTCCATATGACTGACTGCGGACGTGGTTTCCTTCCGCTCCCGCTGTGCTAAGCGGTTTTATCATGAACGTGAATTTTCGCTCGCCTCAGTTGGCACTGTCGAGAGTGTTTTGTCTCCCTTCACTCTTACTGTTTGGGTTGCACGGGTCTGTCGCATCACTGTTGAACTCCCCTGGCGTGCAGGGAATAAACCCACTCGGACATGCGTTTAACCCTTTTGTTTTGTTTCGTTTCCTTTCATTTTTGGCCCACACCCAGCGGTGCCCAGAGATTACTCCTGGCTCTGCACTCAGGGATCACTCCTGGTCATGCGTGCAGTGGGGCATATGGGATGCCGGGGATCGAACCTGGGTTGGCGGCATGCAAGGTAGACAGGCGCCCTCCCTGCTGTACGATTGCTTTGACCCCTAACCATTTTATTTTACTTTATTTATTTTCTGCTTTTTGGGGTCACACCCGGCGATGCACAGGGGTTCCTCCTGGCTCTGCACTCAGGAGTTACTCCTGGCGGTGCTCAGGGGACCAGATGGGATGCTGGGAATCGAGCCCGGGTCGGCCGCGTGCAAGGCAAACGCCCTCCCCGCTGTGCTATCGCTCCAGCCCCTAACACTTGCTTGAGAAATCTCGTAAGCATCCGTAACCATTTTAATATATTGCTGAATTTGGCTGGTTTGTATCTTGAGGAGGATTTCTTCATTAGTGTTTATTAGGAATATTGATCTGTATTTTTCTCGTATCTGATTTTGCTAGATAGGCTTTTTTCATTTGTGTGTCTTTTATCTTTTTTTTTTTTTTTTTTTTTTGCTTTTTGGGTCACGCCCGGCGATGCATAGGGGTTCCTCCTGGCTCTGCACTCAGGAGTTACTTCTGGCGGTGCTCAGGGGGCCATATGGGATGCTGGGAATCGAACCCGGGTCGGCCATGTTGGCTGCGTGCAAGGCAAATGCCCTACCCGCTGTGCTCTCTCTCCAGCCCCGTGTCTTTTGAGGGGCCACACCCATCAGTGCTGGTTCTGAGATCAGGGGGTCACTGATCAGAGATCACTGCTTTTGGGGGCAGGGCTGGTGGGCTGCTCCCAGGATTCTTGGTCAGCTGGGTCAGCTGTTCACCACAAGGGACCCATTCTGTGCCGGCACCCGGGACTGTGTGACGTTCTGACCCGGGCCCGCGTGGGGTTCTGACCTGTGACCCAGTCACAGAATATACACATGGGGTTCTGACCCGGATATTCTCTCCTGGTCCTGGTCACTTTAATTTTTGGTACTGTGTTCCCTCATTTGTCCTCAGAAGGTTTAAAGCTATTGCATGCTGGGCCCGGGCGTGCAAGGGTCAGGGCGCCGCCCAGTGTGTGGGTCCCAGCTGTGTGATTCCTGGTAGCACCTGTGGTCCCCCGCCCCCCCCCCCCACACTGCCAGGAGTGATCCCTGAGCACCACTAGGGTTGGCCCGAACCCCCCTCCCAGATGGATCCGTCCTTGGCCCAGCCAGAACCAGGGGTAAGAACCGTGGAGGTGCTTCCCCGGGGTACCCCAGGACGACCGGGAGTCGGGAGTCCCTGAGAACCCACGTCTGGGCCTCGCCACGCCCTGCCGGCGACTGACTCACTCCCTGCGCCTGCAGCCTCCCACTCTCACTGTGGGGGCCCCGCAGAGAATCGCATCCCTGAAACATCTACGAAGTCGCTGCATTGTCACTGCTGGGCCTGGCCGGACGCTGGGGTGGGGGGGGGGCATTCACTCACCCCCAGAGGCTCCGGCCGTCTAGCCGCCCCCCCGTGTCACCCGCTCCTGAGTGGCTCCCGTGTGTTTCCAGGCCTCCCCCCACCTCCAGAACACGCCCAGGGGGACCCGGCAGGAGTTCCCACCCGCGAGCACCCAGAGGCCAGCACCCCGCCCCCCGGGCCGAGCACGGGTGAGTGAGCACCTGGGCTGCCGTGTGCACTGTGGCCGGCCGAGCAGGCATGCAGGAGAGTGTGGGGGTGAGGGGAGTGGGGCTGGCATTTCAGCCCGAGAGAGGGGGGAGAAGGGGGTGGGGTCCCCGGTGCCTTCAGGGGCCACTGGAGTGAGGCGGTCGCAGACTTCCAACGTGGTTCCCCAGTGGACCTGTTGCTCGGGGCACACCCCAGCACGCGCAGCTGAGTCTGGGGGGCCTCATGCTCCTTCCTTCTGTGTCCCCTGGGTCCCTGGGCCCGTGGCCCCGTGGAACCCCCAGGGTTCCCTTTTCGCTCAGAGCCTCCTTCCGGCACCCTGGGCCGTTCCCACGGGGTGCACCGCACACTGTGTGAGGGGGCCGATGCCAATGCCCGGGGCCCCTCACACAGTGTGCGGTGGCCTGATCCAGCACCTGCCCCGCTATGCTTGGGGTCCTCCGGGTGTCCCCCCAGTGAGCACGGCCCCTCCCTCCAGCCCCTGTGGAGCTCTGACCTCTGCCCCTTCTGGCCCCACCCTCCACCGTGCTTGGGGACACCCCCAAACTCTGTCCCCGACCCTCAGCATGGCCGGGCTGGCGGGGGTTCCCGGTGCCCGGCCTGAGCTCTCGGCCCCACCCCTGCCCGTAGTCCCTGCTGCCCAAGCCAGTGTCCGGCGCCCCGCGAAGTCAGAGGGTGACGCTTCAGAGCAGGCGGCGCCGGCCTCTCCCACGGGGGACGCGGGCCCAGGTGAGTGGGGACTCTGGCGGGGGGAGGGGCGGGGGGGCTGGCTCCTGGCCAGGCTCTGGGCAGAGGCGGGGCCTGCGAGGAGACTCCCCCGGGACCCCTGATCGCCTGTCAGTGACGCAGCGGGGAAACGCAGGTTTCCGGGCCTCCAGTCTGCCCCTGAGCCGGGGTAATGAGTGGCTCTGGGAGGGGGGCCATGTACCCCCCCCCAGCCTTCGAGGACCAGAGAAGGGGCTGGGGAGGGGGTTGCTGACCCTCCGTGTGCTGTCAAGACTCCCGGGGGTCTGGGTGTGGCCTCTGCCTCAGTTTCCCCTTCACCACCCACTCGCCGCCCTTCTGCACCTCGCTCCTGTGCGGGGGGGGGGGGGGGGGGCAGTGCCCGCCTTGGTGCTGGGCAGGGCCGGTGACGCAAGAGCAGGGTGGGCGCAGGCCGGAGCAGGGCCCCGGGCCAGGGCTGCCCCCCGCCACAGCGCCGCCGTCGCTCCAGGTGGCCGCGCCGTGGTCATCAAGACGGAGACCCTGTCGGAGGAGGACGATGACGACGACGACGAGGCGCTGCCGGAGCTGCTCCTCCTGGGTGACGCCCCGAACCAGCCCCGGCAGAGACTGCCCCGAGGGGACCCCCGGAGCCCCACCACCACCACCACCACCACCACCACCACCACCGGAGGCCCGGAGCCGCGGAACGCCCCGGGGCTGGCCGGGGGCCCACGGCCGCGTCTTGGGCGGGCCCGCGAGGAGGCCCCGGGGGCCCCGCCCCGCCGACGGCGCGCACAGACCTTCCCCTGCCCCGAGTGCGGCCAGAGCTTCCGCCTGAAGATCAACCTGGTCATCCACCGGCGCGCGCACGTCGAGGAGGCGGGCGCGCCGGCCGCGCTGGAGCCGGGCGAGGTGGCCGTGCCGGGCCCCATCCTGCGCTGGCTGCCCGACGCCGCCCCGCGCCGCGCCTACCGCTGCGCCCAGTGCCTGCGCGCCTTCCCGCAGCGCCGCGGGCTGCTGCTGCACCAGCGCACGCACGCGGGGCCCGGCCTGGCCGAGCGCGCCCGCGCCTGCCGGCGCCCCGGCCCGCCGCCCTGCCCGTGCCCGCAGAGTCGCCGCGCCCTGGGGCGCAGCCGCCACCGGGCCGCGCACCTGCAGCGGCGCGGCCGCCTGGAGGAGGGTTGACGCGGCGGCCCACCCGCCCACCCACCACCCCGCCCTCCCTCCGCCCGCCCCGCGCCCGCGCCGCCCCGGAGGGGCCCGTCTGCCGCGCTCAGGGAGGGTGTCCAGCGCCCTGCCCGCGCCAAGCCCACGTTTCCCCATCAGAGGGGTCCCCCCGGGCTTCCCGAGGAATAACGGATACCCGGAGACTGACGTGTCCTGCATGCCGGGCCTCGGCGTTTTCCCTCCTGGGTGGTACTGAGGTTGCAGAGGGCACCAGGAGCTCCTGGGTGTGTGTGTGCGTGCGGGCGGGGGGTGGGCACTGTCCTTCACTCCTTTGTGGGGGGACAGGGCTGTCCGGAAACCCCCTCGGGTGTCGATGGACCCCAAGCGCCCAGCGCGCTCATCCCGTCCGTGTTCACCCTCCAGCCCTGGCGGGCAGGGTTGGGGTGCGCAGACACCCCCGCGACCGGGAGTCCTGGAGGAGCGGGTCCCCCAGCCTGGCCTCCGGGCTGAGTTGTGCCACTGCAGGGAGCAGACTCTGAGAACGTGGGGGTTCTGGCAGAATTGGGGAGCCCCCCCCACTCCGACCTCATGTTCCTCAGCCCTCCTGGGGGAGACTCTCCTGGGCTTCCTACCTCACCTCCTCCAGCATGCCAGAGCCAGGCAGCCCGCCAGGACAACCCTCCCATCGGCTTCCGACCCCCTTTCTCGGCCCTGGGACCTCTGTCCTTAAGCGTCATCCCGCAGGAAGGGCCTTTGCTCCCTGGGGTGAGGCTGGGGAGCAGTGAACACATCCCTGTTTTCACGTCGCTGGCACCACGTTGGGGCGATGGCCTCAGGCCCGGGGATGGGCACCTCGGCCATACCGAAGGGTGCCTTACTTGGCACTGGGGGACGGGCGCGTGGCCCCAGCCGGCCGTGCCATTTCTTGTCGCCTCCTTTTTACCCTCACGCCTCCGAGTCAGGGATCTGGCCGAGGGAGGGTCAGGGGACACTGAGTGTCAGAGAGAGCTCGGCTGCCCAGAGGAGGGTCCTGCTTTCTGCAGACGGAGCCCCCCTCCCCGGGGGCGCCGCAACTCAGGGCGGGGGCCCGCAGCAAGTGCTCAAGCCGGACACGGTGCAAACGGAGTCGCTGAGCTATTTCCCGGCTATTTCCTGGGGGTGCTGAGCTCCCAACGCCGGGGTCCCCGCGTGCTCCCGGGAAAGGCACGAGCGGAGGCCGCTTGGCGCGGGGGGTCTCGCTCCCCGGCTCCGGGAACGTCGGGAGGGCGGGGACGGACCCCCGGTGCTCAATAAACACGTCGCAGTCGGCGAGGTGCGCGCGTGCCTGGCTTTCTTCCTCGGCCCCGGGGCCGGCGGCCGCTGCGGCCAGGGACGGTCGGGGAGCGGGACCGGCGGTCGCTCACCTGCCGGGCGCACGCTGTGGGGGCGGGGCCTCCGGCGACGGCCAATGAGAAGGCGGCGTCGGGACGCACTGCGGGGGCGGGGCTTCCCGGGCCAGCCAATGGCGGGGCGAGGCGGGGCCCGTCGCGCGGCCCGGGCGCAGCGGCCGCACCGTCCGCGCCTCCGAGCATCCCGCAGGCGCCGCTGCCGTCCGGCCGGGGCCCCGCGCGCCCGCTGCCCGCGCATCTGCCCCACGCCCGAGAACGGCCGGGCGCTTCTCCGTTAGAGGCCCGGGGCGGCGGCTCCTCGGCTGACAGCGCGGGACCATGGCCGAGGCGGCCCCGGCTGCGGTAAGGGAGGCCCCCCCCCCCCCCCGAGGGTGCCCGTCTCCTGCGCGCTCCTCCCGGGTGCAGGGGCGAGAACTGGCCGGAAGAGAGCTGCGGAGGACCAAGAGATGGGACGCCCCCCCTCGGTTCTCCCCCCGGGGCTTGCTGGTCCGAAGACTCACAGCTCCAGGGTTCCAAGCCAGCCCCGGCGTTCGGGCGTCCCCACGCGGGGTCCGGCAGGGTCCGGGTGCTGGGGCGGGCGTGGGGAGATGGATGGTGAATGTCCTCACTCAGCGCGTCCCCCCCCCCCGATCCTGGCCCTGTCCTTCGAGACCGTCTCCCTCTCCCCCTCCCTCCAGATCCCCCTAACAAAACAAATCCTGGCCGAGAGCAGCGCTAGTACCTTGGGGAGGTGTCCGCTGCAGCCCCGCCCCTCCCCCCCCCCCCCCCGGGGCGCTGGGACTCCCGAAGCCCTGTCCCTGTCCAGCACCTGAACCCTGGTCCCTGCGTGGGCTCCCGCTGCCCCGAGCCCAGCGACAGAGGATTTGCCCCGACTCCTCTCGTGGAGAGAACTTTGCAGGGTTCCTGGTGTCCACGGTCATGGAAACCTGTTTGCCCTAAGCCCTTAGGCCATCCCCATCCCTTCCCGCCCAAGGCTCTTCCCCTGGCCGCTGCGTGGGGCCCAGTGTCCACTGTCTTTGACCCACTCCAGGGGAGGCAGCCCGGACTGAACCCCTGACTGCTCATCAGCTGGGGTACACCCGGGGCCCCCCCGACCTTGAAGGCTAACTCCCCACCCCCAACCTCCCACCTTATGTCTAGCCCCAGGAATGGCTGAGGGGGGCTGACCTCCACCGGGAGGCCCAGATCCAGTCAGCGGAGATCTCCCTCCTGGCCATGGTAGCCGCCGTCCAGGCCGTGGAGAAGAAGGTGGAGGCCCAGGCGGCCCGGCTGCAGAGGCTGGAGGGCCGCGCGGGCAGTGCCGAGAAGAAGCTGGCGGACTGCGCGCAGACGGCGGCCGAGCTGGGCCAGCAGCTGGAGGGCAAGTGGGCCGTGCTGGGCACGTTGCTGCAGGAGTACGGGCTGCTGCAGCGGCGCCTGGAGAACATGGAGAACCTGCTGCGGAACCGCAACTTCTGCGTCCTGCGGCTGCCGCCGGGCAGCAAAGGCGACACCCCCAAGGTAGAGGCACCGGGCCTGGTTCCTGCAGGTGCTCCGGCTGGCTCCTGGCGAAGCCCAGTCTCTTAGCCCCTGACGGCTGCCGAGCATGGGGGTGTGGGCTGAAGGGTGCCACCATACTTGGGTGCCCAGAAGAAAGTCCGCCGGCCTGGGGCTGGAGTGATAGCACAGCGGGGAGGGCATTGGCCTTGCATGCGGCCAACCCAGGTTCCATTCCCAGCATCCCATAGGGTCCCCTGAGCACCGCCAGGGGTGACTCCTGAGTGCAGAGCCAGGAGTGACCCCTGTGCATCGCCGGTGTGACCCAAAAAGCCAAAAAAAAAAAAGTTTGTCGGCCTGCAGGATGGGGCTGGCTCCCCTCGCCCTGGTCCCTGAAGCCAGCGTCCACCCAGGATTGGGTGCGGGAGAGGTGCCGGCCCAGCTGGCCTCGGACATGGTGGGTGGCCTGTACTTCCAGCTGCCCGTGACCGCCGACGACACGGCCGTGACCTTCCCGGAGCAGGAGTGGGGCGGCCTGCAGGACTGGCAGGAGCAGCTGTGCAAACGAGCCGAGGCCCTGGCCTGCCAGGGTAAGAGGGTCTCCGGGTCCCCCCAAGCCCCAGCCCTGGGTGGGGTCACTTCTCAGAATCCCCGGAGCCCTGGGGATGCGACAGCTGCGAGTGTGTGTCCACCGCCCTCAGGCAGGTGGGGTACCGGCTACCCGCATTCTAATCACATGCCTGAGCAGGGCGGAGCTGAGCTGCCCCCCAGCCCGGAAGCCCCCCGGAAACCGCTTTGAGTTGGGATCTCTGGCGGCCCAGCACCCCGTCCCTTAACAGTGGTGGGGTTCTGGGGAGCACCCGTGAAGCCTGCTGGGAGGGGGTCGCGTGGGCTTACCTTGACGGGTACCCCCATCAGGAGCTGAGGCCCGTTCTGGGAGGTGGCATTCTGAAACACCCCGTTCTCACCAGCACGTCCCGGATGGCAGCTGGGTAGCCACAGCACCCTCCCATCCCCCCTGCTCACACCCCCACACCAGTTCTGTCACCGCTTTGGGCAGGAGCTGAGGCCACCACAAAGCGCTGCCTTCCCTTTGCCCAGCGACAGGGGTCCTCCCCCGAAGAGGTCACGCGGGGTGGGGTGCCAGCATGGGGGATGGAGAGAGGGGGTACAGTGGGAGGCCATCACTGCGGCAAGTTCAAGCCCTCCCCCAGCAAGCTTGAGTTCTCCCCAGGGAGTGTGGGGACCCCACCCCTAAGTTCTGAGTTCTTATTTGCAGGTAGAGGGTCAAAGGCCATTCTGTGTCCCACCGTCGGTCACCCCTCTGCACCCTGGGAATGTCATAGTGACCAGGGGAAAGGGTGGGCATGACATGGGCTGTGATGGGGGCGCTGCTCCTCACACCCCCCCCCCCCCGCCGTGTCTGTCTGATACCCCCCAGCTGCTCGAAAAGGGCCAAGAACCTGGTTTCCTGTGCCAGGCCACAGCTCCTCCGGGCACTGGGCTTGGTGCTGGCTCCCAGCTGGGGAGAAGCAGGCAGAGACCAGGGTCTTGAGTGCAGGGGTGAGTGCAGCAGGATGCGGGAGTGAGGACCCCATCCCCTGGGCAGGTCCCCAGCGTCCAGATACCTCCCTGCCCAGGCCACCCTCACCTGTAGTGAATGCCGTTGGATGCGAAGAAATTAAGGTCAGGCACAGAGGGTAAGGCACTTACCTGGAGTGCGGCTGACCTGGGTTTGCTCCCTGGTATCCTGTGGAGTCCCTGAGCTCACCAGGAGTAAGCTCTGAGCACCCCGGGTGTGACTCAAAGAAAAACCAGGGGGCTAGAGCAATAGCACAGCGGGGAGGGCATTTGCCTTGCATGTGGCCGACCCGGGTTCAATTCCCAGCATCTCAGATGGTCCCCCAACACCGCCAGGAGTCATTCCTGAGTGCAGAGCCAGGAGGAACCCCTGAGCATCGCTGGGTGTGACCCAAAAAGAAAAAAAAAAGCAAAACCAAAAGAAACTAAAATTAGCAGGGTGCTGGTGCTTAAATGAGGTTGTAAGGGGGTGGTTTGGGGAGAGCGCTCAGAGGCCCCAGCTCCATCCGCAGCACCGAGCACTGAGCCGGGAGGACCCCTCACTAGCTGTGGTCCCCCCCCAAAAAAATAAGTAGTGATGAGATGGGGGAGGGTGCATGTATCACGGACTTCAGCTCCTTTCAGAATGCTCTGGCCTTGCTGTCTAGTTTTAGGTGGCTCACTCCCTGGGGGTTGCCGCTATTCAGAGGGAACGGGGTCAGCTGGGACTCGTTCATGATGCCCAGACACACAAGCCCCATCTCTGGAGTCGCTTGGCCTGGTGGCAGTGGGTCACCCCCAGCGCAGGGGAACAACGATGATTTGCAGACAGGCTCTTTGGAGTTCCCATCATTTCCTTGGCCCGCCTGGCCCCGCACCCCGTGCTGTGCCTCGTGGGTGTTGAAGCTGGAGCCTCGGCCCGTTTCCCGCCAGATGCGGCGGAAGTGACGTCACGTCCCCCTGCTCCCGCCCCGCGGCAGCTTCCCGGCGCGCTCCGCGCGTGTTCAACGGGGACCACGCAGATGGGGCCCAGACCCCTCCCCGTTTTGCTTTTGTTTGGGGCCCCTGGGATCTCTCCTGACTCTGCGCTCAGGGCACCATACGGGATGCATGGGGCGAGCCTGGGTGAGCCGCGTGCCAGCCAGCACCCCACCCCAGGTTTAAGCGCCCACGGGGTCCCGCAGATGGGGGGGACATCGTGTCCGCGGTGCCCGTGCCAGGACTGCAGTGGCGAGGGGGCGTTGGCGGCCAAGGACAGCTGCGAGCCTCAGGGCTGCTTCCTTTCGTCCCCCAGAACCAGGCGCCCCCGCCTCGCCCCCAACTCTTCTGCCCTGGATCAAGCAAGAAAAAGAGGCCTCGGGGAGAGCCCTGGCCAGCCCCGGGGGGCAGCCCCCCGCACGTCCGCGCCCAGGTAAGGTGGAAGAATGGCCCTGCGAAAGTGTGCCTGGGTGGGCAGCAGCGGGTGGGCTGGAAGCTTCCAGATTGCTGGCTGTGGTTTGTGCTCGGGGCCGGCGCCTGGTCTGCACCCGGGCATCACTCCTGGCGGTGCTCTGGGGACCACGTGCAAAGCCACCGTGGCCGCCTTCGCCTTAAGGGCCTGCGGCTAGGAGGAGGGAGGGGGCGGGCATGAAAGACACACGGATCGGAACCGCAGGTTCTGGAGCCCGCGAGCCTGGGTGGAGGCAGCCCAGGCCCGTGGAAGGCAAAACCGAGATGGGGTGCGCGGGGGGTTGGGGCACACTGGGCATCGGGAGAAGAGCTGGTAGGCTGGTCGTGCCCTTGATTCTCGGGTGCCCGGGAGCCAAGTGCCGTGCGGGGGAGGGGCATCCCAGCTTCCGGTTGGCCAAGGCAACCCTGGTGTTGTCCCCGTGTGTCCCCAGCAGACACCTGCCTGGGCCGCAAGGAGAAGAGTCTGGAGGGGCCTGAGCCAGCCTGGGCAGCCGAAGGGGCACCCGGCGAAGAAGCCTTCACGGAGGGCACCCGTGGGGACCGGCCTCCCCTGCAGGATCCCCCCACTCGGCCCGCCCCGCCTCGGGACCCCCAGGGCCCAGCCGCCGCGCCAGCCGCGGGGACCACGGGGCCGCGTGGCCAGAGCTTGGCCCAGAAGGAGCCGGGAGCACCGCCCCGGCGCCCCCGGCCCGGCCCGCGGCCCCTGTCCTGCGCCCAGTGTCCCCCGGACCTGGCTCCACCCGCGCCCGCGGGCCCCCGCGCCTACACGTGCGCGCAGTGCGGCCAGAGCTTCGTGCACCAGTCCACGCTCACGGCGCACTCCCGCACGCACACGGGCGAGCGGCCCTTCCAGTGCGCGCAGTGCCAGAAACGCTTCGGCCGCCTGTCCACGCTGCTGGAGCACCGGCGCACGCACACGGGCGAGAAGCCGTTCCAGTGCGCGCAGTGCCAGAAGCGCTTCGGCCGCCTGTCCACGCTGGTGGAGCACCGGCGCACGCACACGGGCGAGAAGCCCTTCCAGTGCGCGCACTGCGACAAGCGCTTCACGCGCCTGGCCAACCTGACGGTGCACCAGAACGTGCACCCGGGCGAGCGCGCCTTCCAGTGCGCGCAGTGCGCCAAGCGCTTCGCCCAGAAGGCCGCGTTCCTGCGCCACCTGCGCGCCCACTCGCGCGAGAAGCGCTTCCCCTGCGGCCAGTGCGGCCAGACCTTCGCCTGTCGCTCCTGGCTCGTGCGCCACCAGGGCCGCCACGCCGCCGCCGTTGCCGCTGCCGCCCCGGCCTCCCCGACCCAGGGCCCCCCTGCGGGGGCGGGCTGGGGGCGGACTCCCCGGGACCCCACCGCTGCCGCCGCCGCCCCTCGGGGGGCTGAGGGCTCCGGGACGGAGCCGGGCCAGCGGGGCCGGCCTGGGGGCAGGCAAGCCAGTGGCCGCGATCAGGGAGGTCCCGGGGCTTCTCTGCACAGATCTCTCTCCCGCGTGAAGATGGAAAATGCGGGATAGCACCCCGGAGCGCCCCCCTCCTGCAAAGGGCCACTGAGGGTGGAGGGGCGGTGGGGTCCCCAGAGTCCCCGTCCGGTCCCCGCGGGCCTTCCTACGGTGGGAATGCCTGCGGAGGCACCCACAGGGGAGAAGGCGCCAGCCTCCTCGACGCATGCGGACTGCGGATTCTAAGGTGTCCGGGCGGGAAGGGGTGGGGAGACGCCCACGGGGGCCCTACAGGTGCGTTCTGAGAGCCTGGGCAAGTGGCTGCCCCTCCCACCCCCACACGTCCATCTGGGCCGCGTGTCAATGCGCTCATGCGACCGGCCACACGGCTATCCTCACCTGCTCTTTGGAGCCGCAGGTGTGTGGCACTTCCTGGAGACCCCAAGCCACAGGGGACCTGGGTCAGGGAAGTCACGGGCATCAGAGGCGGGATGTGGGTCCGGAGGGAGAGGGCAACGCGGCTGGGGCACGGGAGGCAGAGAGAAGGGGAACCCCCGAAGCCCCGCCACCCTCGCTCTGCCCTGGTGTGGGGCGCACCAGGCCTCGGCTGGGGGGCCCAGCATCGCGCCAAGTTCAATTCTTCCCCAGCCGCTGCAGATTTCCACCGCAACTGGGCCCCGACTCTCCTGGGACTCCCTAGAACGTGGAAATCTTCCACCCCTTGGGGACCGAGTTCCTGGGGGCACTTGTGCGCATTTGCGCGTGCGCCGGAGTGCGGTTCCCAAGGCCAGTCCAGCGAAGCCTGCCCGGGGGCCAACAGCCGAGTCTGTCATGATGTTCACTCTGGGGGGACTCCTGGCCCTGTGCTGGGGGCTGCCGCCGCCTCTGTACATAAGGGACATTGTTAAAGCAGTGTGTCCCCCTCACCCCTCCACGCCCCCGTTGTTGCCTGTCATTGCGGACTCGCAGGAGTGTCCGGGATCTCCGACATCTGTAGCTGGTGTCCACCCCCGCCCCCCCGGAGTTACAGAGAAAGTCCTGGATGGGCTGAGGGCGGGATGCCCGAGGGAGAAGCAGCGAGTTCTCTGGCCTCTGGGGCGCCTGCCGGGGGTGGGGTCGGCCGCTGTGCTTGTGCAAGGAATAAAGACGTGTCCACTCACTGCCGCCAGCCCCTGCCTCCGTGTCTCCTCAGCCCCCATTTTAGTGATTCTCACATGCTTCACCTCACTGTGAGCCCCGCGCCCCCTACGGTCGTTGGAACTGGAGTGAGCCCTGTGCCCAGCGCGAAGGGTCAGCCCTGAGCCCCTCCCAAAGCAGACAGAGACCCCCGTGCGCTGTTCTGCTGCGGGACCTGAGGCCCAGGCCCCCTGGAAGTCTTACACGGCAGCAACCAGGGCAGGGCCACACCCCGCGGTGCCCAGGCCTCCTCCTGGCTCAGGGCTCACTTTTTTTTTTTTTTTAACTTTCTGGGTCACACCTGGCTCTGCACTCAGGAATTAATCCTGGCATTGCTGGGAGGACTTTTATTGGATGCCAACGATTAGAATTCGACGGCGTGCAAGGCAAACGCCCTCCCCACTGTGCTATCACTCCGGCCCTCAGGGCTCTTTCCTGCTGGCTTGGGACGCTGTGAGGCAGCGGGTCCTGCCCAGAGCCCAATTCTCTGCGACTCGTCTTAAGGACCCAAGATAGAGGCGCCGGCCCTCTGCCTGCTGGTCACTGCCAGAAAGATGTGTTTCCTGACGAAGGTTCCAGGCGCATCAGCAGGAGCCGGGCACAGACCTGGTCTGTGGGGACAGGCACCAGTACCCGCTCTCGGCTGTCCTGCCCGACAGGCGCGCCTGGCACGGGACGGTGGCAGGGACCCGGTGCCCAGGAATCCGAGAGGCCTCCAGCCGCCTCGGCCCCTCCCCTCATTCCTGCTCACACAGGGACCCCAATTCTGCAGCCACAGCTCCTCACTGCACCCATAGGCTGCCAGCCACCCCGTGGGAGAGGCGGAGCTGCCCCCCACTTCAGACACTCCCCCTCCCACAGAGTGTGCCTGTGACCCGGCCCTTCCCCAAGCTGCCCCCTGGAGCCACAGTGGACAGACTGGCTCCGGGTCCCTTCCTGCACCCAGCATGGGGGGAGGGAGGGAGCCACGTGGGAAGTCTCCCCATTCCGGCCCTAATCCCGCCCCTCCAGTGACCCTGAGTCTGTGCCGAATGACCCCCCCTCCAGCACAGAGACCAGAGTAAACCCTTAGCACCTCAGGGTGTGGCCGTGCCCCCCACCCCACCCTGGAAAAGAAAGAAATGGGACGACGGAGGAGGGTGAGGAGAGCTTGGGGTCGGGGACGTGCGCCCCATACAAGACCTGGACCCCACATGCCCCCCCCCAGCTCTGCTCGGTGCAGCTCACAGGCCTGACCACTCAGCTGTCCGGCCCAGCTGGCCAAGTGGCTGCAGGGCTGTCCCCTCCCCCACCATTAGCCAACAAACCCAAATCAAGTCAAAAGGTGTCGCTTTTCCTTCCTCCTACCGACCATCTCTTCCTTGACTCAGCGTGGCGTTCACTGGGTGATGATTTAACGTTGCTTTAAGCAAAGACAAATAGAGGCGCTAGCTCACTGCATCCGTTTTTGCTTTTGCTTTTGCTTTTTGGGTCACACCCGGCAAAGCACAGGGGTTCCTCCTGGCTCTGCACTCCGGGATTCCTTCTGGCGGTGCTCAGGGGACCATATGGGATGCTGGGAATCGAACCCGGGTTGGCCGCGTGCAAGGCAAACGCCCTCCCTGCTGTGCTATCCCTCCAACCCCTGCATCCCTTTGCTGGGGACTTGGGTCAGCCGCTCTCGGCCACTCCTGGTGATGGTCGAGGACCCCCCCCCCCCGGCGGTGCTGGGGCTCAGACCTGGGCTCCCACGAGCAAAGCAGGTGCTCAGGGACCCCCGGGCGGCCACCCGGTCCTCGCGTGGGGGTCTCATTCCTCTCTGGACGGCAGGGACAGTTCCAAGTGCAAGCACAAGACCAGGGAAGGCAGCAGCAGCCCGTGGGGTCTGGGCAACTTCAGGGAGAGGCACACAGGGGCTGGGTCTCGGCTGCGGGGATAGGGGCATCCTCGGCTGCAAAGCGCCCCCCAGCCCAGCCCAGCCCCTGCAGTGGCCGCTACCCGGTGGCCCGGGGCTGGTGGGCAGGTGCCCGTCCGCGGGTGGACCGGGAGGAGAGCGCAGGCCGGAGAGATGCGCTTTCCTGCTTCCTGCTCAACACAGGCGTTCGCGGAGGGTCCATTCTGCCCCCGCCCCCATCGCTCAGGAGTGGCCTGGGCGTGGGTCGGGGTCGCGCTCGGCGTGGCCTCGTCTCTCGTGGCGGGCGGGAGCCCGGGGGCGCCCCCTGGTGGCCGCCCGCGCGCTCTGCGCCGCACCTGCGTCTCCAGCCCCGCTGCTCGCCGCGGCCTCTCCGGGCCTCGCAGCCGAGCGCCGCTCGCGGCCAGCATCGCCCCCTGCTGGCGAACGCCGCCCCCTGCGCCGCGCGCCCGCCCGCCCCGGCTGGGCCCACCTGAGCCAAATCGCGGCACAGGTGCCGGCTTCTTCCAAACCACCTGGCACCGCCAGCTGCTCCCGGGGGTGCACCCGCTTTCTTTCCCCCCACCCCCACCCCCAGGCAGCTGCGGCTCCGGTTCAGGCTCTTCTCGGAGCACCCCCACCCCTCCCCGCCCCTGGAATTGGGGGGTTCCAGAATAGAACCAACCCCCTTTCGCAGGGCTCCCGGATGCTGCTTTCCTCTTGGGTCGGGACAAGTTTTGCTTTTTTCTGGTTTTCTGGGCCACACCTGGCAATGCTCAGGAATCACTCCTGGTGGTGCTCGGAGGACCCGATGGCCGGAACTGAACCCAGGCCGGCCCCACGCAAGGCAAATGCCCTCTCTGCTGTGCTATTGCTCCGACCCTCAGGGTTTTAGTCTTTCTTTTCTTTTTTTGCGGTTTTTGGGTCACACCTGGCGATGCACAGGGGTTCCTCCTGGCTCTGCACTCAGGAATCACTCCAGGCGGTGTTCAGGGGACCACTTGGGATGCTGGGAATCGAACCTGAATCAGCTGCGCGCAAGGCAAATGCCCTGCCCCCTGTACAATTGCTCCGGCCCTCAGGGTTTGACTCTTGACGCCCCTTTTGGTTCCCCTGAGCCTTGCCAGGATTGGTCCCTGAGTGCAGAGCCAGGAGTAAAACCTGTTCACCCCAGCTGTGGCCCCCCCAAACCAAAATAAAACAACACCAGGGCACCTGGACTGTGTCACAGTAAGGGGGCCAGGCTGTGGCGCCCCCGCCCTCACACTGAGTGCCCTGACCCCATAGAGTGCCAGGAGTGCTCCCTGCCCCCATACTGAGAGCTGGGAGTGCTCCCTACCCCACACTGAGTGCCGGGAGTGCTCCCTACCCCCACACTGAGTGCCGGGAGTGCTCCCTAACCCCACACTGAGAGCCAGGAGTGCTCCCTACCCTCACAGAGTGCCGGGAGTGCTCCCTACCCCCACACTGAGTGCCGGGAATGCTCCCTAACCCCACACTGGGAGCCAGGAGTGCTCCCTACCCTCACAGAGTGCCGGGAGTGCTCCCTACCCCCACACTGAGTGCCGGGAGTGCTCCCTAACCCCACACTGAGAGCCAGGAGTGCTCCCTACCCTCACAGAGTGCCGGGAGTGCTCCCTACCCCCACACGAGAGCCAGGAGTGCTCCCCGCGTGCAGGAACCTGTGAGCTTCCTGGCCAGGGGAATGCAGTGTGACTCGGCTTCCTGCTCCATCAAAGCCCCCTGCAGCCCCAGCTCCTCACGCTCCACACCCACCTTCTAAGTTCTTGTCCTTCCTTCCTTCCCCTGAGAACCTCCCAGCTGTGTCTTCCTGCCGCTCTGCGTCTTGTGCCCAGCACGAGCTGCCCGGCCGTTCAGCTCTCTGGCTCCCTCAGCCCTGTCCTGGTGCGTGGACCTGGAGTCCCTGTTGCTCCATCCTAACCCGGCCAGTTGATTAAAGAGCCTCATCGTGCAGTGAAATGTCAGGGTTAGGCCCGGCACAGTTCCAAAAGGCTACCCATCACCCTCC